GGTGGACAGTCTCAATGTGCTCTGCAGATTTGGTTAGCTCTGGACGTTTCACATAGAGTGTCGGGTCAACCCCACTTGCGCAGCGTAGTCTGGGACTCCAGTTTGGCACGCGGTGACCTTCGCAAACCCAGTTTTCAAAATGTCCTGTCAATCCTCCAACCACGGAGCCGCGTCAACAACCCAGGCGACCACACACGGTTTCCCACCAAATCTTTAGATATTTATATAAAGAACGATCTAATCTGTTGATCTGAGGAAACTGACTGGACAGCACAGCTTTAGATTACCGGTATGTTCTGCTCGTTCCCTGAACCTGACGAGGAGTCCAGTCATGGAGGCTAGTAGTAGTAGTGCTCGGAAGTAGCCCGCGAGTAAGATGGGCTAGGCCGGCAGGCTTACAATGTATGTTATGGACTGGGCGGGCGGTCCCGAATACATGAATGCTCGCTGACATCAACATGATCCAGGGCTGTGTTTGTTTCCAGAAAATCGACCACGTTTTTTTTCAAAAATGGAAGTGACAAGTCAGGATCAAGCGCCACTTGACGACTTCGGCTCGTGAGCTGAGACAACTCAGCCGACCAGGCATGCTAGCAGGTTAGGTGGACCATGTCAAGCGTCCAGATACTATTCGATTTTCTGTAAACACTATTATTATAAACAAAAATACACAGATCTCGATGTCGGTGTGCATTCCTACTGCATCTCCAAAAGCCTGCCAATCTTACTCGCGGGCTACTTCAAATCACTAGCATTATTTGAGTAGCAACTCCATTCTCCATGTGATCGCCGTTACTTACAACTAAGGGCGTTAGTCACTGAGCTACTGTGTATCCAGTCGGTTTTCTCAGATCAAGCGATCGTTCCGAATATTTTTCTACACATTTTTTGGAAAAGTGTATGTGTGGTCCGATCCGCTGCACTGGTCGTGTGGGCGTGGGCAAGGCGCGTAAGCGGATCCGTGGTTGAATCTTCGCTAGGGATCGACAGGAGGGCTAGGGGGGAGAGACCCGACAATTTGGTGGGAAACCTGCAATTATTATTTATGGGAAACTGCCTGAGCTAGCAAACACTTTCAGGCTGTCCACCAGGTACTAGGTCCACATGATGAGCACTTTCCTAGCCGCGAAATCATTGAAACACAGCAAGACATCGCGCTTCTACATCATTGTACTTCTGAACCGAACAATGACGTGCTGTAGTTCGGCAGCACATTTCCCTCGCATGCATTCCGGGCAGATATCATAGGCATACCCTACTGGCTACAGTCTGTAGTCTTCGTGGGATCGAATCGAGGTAGACCGATTCCTGCCTCCGAGCTCCGTAGATATGAGTGGAAGGTGACTGTATGCCTATCTGACTGTTTTTGCCGCAAGTGACCTCCAAACAAAACGTTCAGCGCAGGCGCATTAGTATTACTACAAGCAGAAATCAATGGTAAGGTGAAGACAAGAAATCGAGTCATTCACAGTATCCGGATGGGTAAGCACGGAGCCTATCTAGCCATCTTCGGCTTGCCTTTGGGTCTGGTGATAGCCGGAGTGCAAGCCTGGTTCTGGCCCGTACCCGGAGTGGAGATCGACAGGATTTACGGTGGCCAAGTGTGTATTGGCTGCATCTGTCTGCTTAGCGGTCTGCACTTGACGACTGAGGACGTGAAAAAGGCAAATAAACGACCGAGACCGTTCCTTTGGGGACTAATCAGCATTCTGCTGGTTTCGCCATTGGCGGCAATAGAGTTACTGAATCTGGTACCACTCGATACCGATGCTACACCCACTCCCGCCACGCCGACACCAGGAACTACCGTAGATTGGCAACCAGCGAGGAACACAAGCAATGCCAATAGCTCTTGTTCCTACGTCAAATCTACCAAGGGACAGCTAGGCCCACAGGAGTTCGTGTATGGACTACAAATATTTGGCGCTGGGCCATGTGCAACATCAGCAGCATTTGTGTTCGTGAGTCGGTGGTCGATCATGTGTATTGTGTGTGTGTGTGTGTGTGTGTGTGTGTGTGTGTGTGTGTGTGTGTGTATGTGTGTGCGTGTGTGTGTGTGTGTGTGTGTGTGTGTGTGTGTGTGTGTGTGTGTGTGTGTGTGTGTGTGTGTGTGTGTCCCATATGGTGCAGTGGTATGTGCAGCGATTTCCAATCGATAGGTTGCGGGTTCGATTCCCGACGATGGTGGTCACACACGTCTTTCTTCTCTTTCTCAGACTCTTCCTGACTTTTCTTTCATTCTCCTGGGTGGTTACCAACAGCCAGTGCATGCCAGAGTATGTGGTGTGATGTGTGTGCGGGAAAAGAAAAAAATGAAAGACCAAAAGTAGGGGTTCACTGGCCAGAAAAAGTCACTTCAAATATCTGTCTGGTGTAGACCAGGCTGAATAGTGACGGTCAATTCTTCAGCCTTGCAAGCTGTTGATTGGTGTAATCCCAGCACAAGTTGCTATGGCTTCTGCCGTAGCATTGCTATCATCCCCTCCGGCGATGGGCGTCAAAAGGTCAAGGTCAAAAGGTGTGTGTGTGTTGGCCTTGTCCTAACTTTCTTACCACACACATACGGTTATGCCATTGCAATGATGAGTTTGGCGCATTTTTTGTACGACGGATTCAGGCCCAGTGCAAGTACGTACCCAGTGTCTGCTCCAGAGCCGGGTCAGTGACCCGGTTGGAGGGTACTTGGACCCGTTTGGAAAAAGAACACTGGGTCACCTGTGACCCTGTTGGGAGTACACACCAGGGAGTCCTATTATGTACAGCAGGGAGTACTATTATGTACAGCAGGGAGTACTATTATGTACAGTTCTGTGTACATGCACATGCAGTAGCCGCACTTGAACGTACCCGCCTTTGACCCGGTTGGAAGAGTTGTGCCAGGTACACGTGCACCCGGTTGGTTTGAAATCCTAGAGCAGACACTGGTACCATGGAGTTGCTGTAAATAATGTCCTTATGGTATCGACCAGGGAGTCGTAAAATACCGGTATTTTACGACTCCCTGCTATCGACTAACTAACACCAGCGAGCAATAACAACAAGGCAGTTCTATGTAAAGAGTACCAAAGCATGAGAAGAGTGGTGTTGCTTGATGTGGTGTGCAAAAGCCATGCACCACACACATGGCCACTTTCACAACCACAGTGACTCTGTCAGGGTCCGTGTGATCATACCACCTGTAGCCACAGCATGATGAGCTTCTTTCCTGTGTGCCATGTCTTTCTGCTTCTTTTGTTTGGCTTTTTAAAAGACGATGCTTCTCGACGGTGACTTGACAATGGCTGGTATGGTGACTGCGGTCCCGACTGTAGCAGCGTTCTGGTACTACCCTGCCTTGCTCAACTGGCGCTCGAATATCGGATTGGAAGCACGGTTCACTGGGGCTTCTTGGGGGTTCTTGATTACTGAGCAGATTCTGATCGTGGTGGTTCCGTTTCTTGTAAGTACTTCAAAGTAGAACCACTCGCTGATAGGTGTGATAGGTGATGGTTAACGTCTCAGTTAGTACAGGTGTTGTGCTACTCCCTGGTTGCGACAGCAGCCGCAACTAGGGCGTAGTACAGGTGTTGTGCTACTCCCTGGCCGCAACTGCCATTTGCTTGGGTCCCGGTTTGGGATCAATATTTTCACCGTCTGAAGTAACTCTGGGAATGCTAGGAATACATGTACAGGAGCTACTGCAGAGTACAGTAGTGTTGCTGCTGCTCAATGGATTTCGAGAAAGTGAGGCAGCGTTGCGCCCAGATGACATATGCGGTTCTCTGCTTCATCTCTCTTCCCCTCCACGCTCTCCGAAGTTTTCTCGCTATATAGGAGGCTGCCATGACAGGTATCCATTTGCTTTTGGAAAATCCATAAAATAACAACAACAACAACAACGACAGCAGCAGCAGCAGCAACAACAACAACAACAACAACAACAACAACAACAACAACAACAACAACAACAACAACAACAACAACAGTTGAAAGTTGATCCACCTGCGGAGACTGGATTGCATAGTGACCGCAGCTTTCTGCAGAATGCACAAGACACAAGGTGTCCAGTAAGATGACATGGTGTGTCAAAATGTTGATAAATCATGTCATGTACACTGCAAGTGGCCCTGAGGATACTAGACACCTGTCATGTATACATGTGTTTTTAGGCATTGGATGTGTACATGGCATGCACAGTCACTGTCCACAGGGATCGCAGGAGGTGGGGCATGATGAAATCAAGTGCGCCCGTCAACACTGTGTACTTGGATCATAGCCCTAGACATTACATACATGTGCATTCATGTATAACCAGGCATTGCTTCCCAAACCTGGACGCTTGCATCCCATGCTATTTCGTAGATAAGTACCTACAATGTTTCTGTTCTGGCTTCTGTTGTGCTGTTTTCAAGTTTGGTTTTATCCTAGGATCGAATTTACCGGCATGCACAGAGTTTTCAACGTTTATCCGCAAGCACCGAGCAGCCTTTCAGAATGCCTTCAACACTTTCTTAGTCCTTCTCGCCTGGATGGTAGTCAGCAAGATCAGTGAGGAGAAGGTCTACAGCTGCGTGGACACCAGTGCTCTTCTGTACCTCATTGGAATGGCGGTGCTGCTACATCTACTCTTCTTAATCATTAACTCTCTCGCAGCACGCATGGTCTGCTTGAAGAAGGAAGACGCACTGGCTGTGGTGCTCATGTGTAGTCTGAAAATCCTGCCAACCTCCCTCGTTCTGATCTCGTTGCTTGACACGGATCGCGGTGCTAGAGATCTTATGTCGCTGGCGTGTAGATTTGCTTATCTAGTGCAGCTGATGCTGAGCGCACTGCTCTCACTGCTCTTACTGAAATGTGGTCGAGGAAGTGCAATGTTGGAGAACAGCACGTCCCCTCAGTCTGCAAGCGAGGAGGATATGCCGGACAATGACACGTTTGCTCTTCACCTTATTATGCATCTCGCCCAAGCTTTGGCAGAAAATGATGCTGATGAAGAGCAGGCAGAGGGAGAGACATCCGCTGGCCTTTTATACTGAAGGAGAGTTATTTGCATGAAGCACGCTGTGCATATGCAGGATTGTAGGTACAGTAGTTTTAGGATGTTCTTGACTTCAATTATGAAATACTGGATATTTTACATGAATTTTATAACGATTAGCTGCACAGCAATGGACTTGAAGCCTTGGCAAAGAATCGCAATCAGAGTAATCCGTTATAACGTTATGGATCAACTAGCACATGCAATATGCTCTCATTGATAGATAGATTAGACATGCTGTTCGCGTGTTTCCTCTGACAGTGTATCACATTATTTGCCTATGGTTGACTGTAATCATCACATGCATACAATAGCAAGGTTCCGTGACAACGCATAGACACACTGTACATGACAGAATCTGACATCTTACGCACATTCATTGTACATGACGTAACGCCCTAGACACAAGCTGCTACATGAAGTATGAGTACTGGGTGCTGTTTCAGTGCGTAAGTTGTCAGAGTATCAAGAGGGAGCTTATAATAATAATAATTATACTTTTGGTAGTACCAAGCGTCCATGGACTCCTGGTAGTACGGTATGTAAATTTTCAGTCATACTTCGAAGTACAGTCATGTAGCCGTTGCATACTCTGTGTACTGTCTGGATGAGGGATTTCCACTGTAGGTTGGCATTGTCATGTGCCCCTATCGATCTGCCCATTGCATTCATGTGACCATGTGCCATACATCTATCTGCCTTTACTGACAGCCTGGCAGGCTTTGAATGCATTGCAGTATTTGTACTTGTGCACGTGTGTGTAACTTATTGGAGTCACGCAAAAAGACAACAATCTGACCAGCCCAGTGCTAGTTGACAGATCTATGCATCTGGGTGTGTGTGTGCACGCGCGCGTGTGTGAGTATGTGTGCATGTACACATATGTACAGCATCGGCTACATGGGTCTGTTGCCATATGGCTCAGCGGTTTGAAGGTACCTGCCACCTCCGTTGGTTTCAGGGTCCATATTCTTTCTATTCGAAGTGTGCATACCGGCAGACCAATTGAATACTTTTGGCTAGGCTAGTAATAGCTATTGTGCAACCAGTGGTGCTAGTGAAGTGTATCTACGGTCCACTCTGATTTAGCCACTCACACTGGTATCATGTACGGTATTGTCTTCATCGGGACATGGTGGCAGGGGTAAATGTACTTGGATCCCCGGACGGATGCCTTTTTGCCGTCATTCCTTTTCTGCGCCTTGTCATCGCTCACGTATTGCGGTGTGAAGAACCCATGTTGCCCACGAGCGTGCCACCCCCTTCTGGAGCTTCTCCTTTGCGTCTCTGCAGCTAACAAAACAGCAATACCTGTGCCGCTCGCAGGGCCCAGCTGGCTATAGCCGTAGTGACTTTTGTATTGATACGAGTCGCACACGGTATACATGCATGGGTAGCTGATTCAAAATCTGCATGGCAGGGTTGCAAACGGTCAAGGATACAGGTACATGTACTAGGTAAAGCTTTAACATGAAAAAATATTTTAAAAAAAGAAAGAAAGAAGGATAAGAAATATTTGCACACGGAGAAACACGCTGTCTTCACTGGCCAGCAGCAAAGGTGCAAAAGCACAAAGCATGTACATGTATTATGAATATGATTGCACATTGTTTTCATCTGTATACACAGTAAATTTTTAAGTAAAAAGGTCGTCCTTTTTTTGATAGCAATTCACTACGACAAAAGCACAAAAAGGGAAATTTGATGTGGAATATGTTATACATTAAAACGCAATTCAATAGTGCAGGTGTCCAGTGAACACAGACCCTAGCAGCTGTTCTATGCAAGAGACAGATCTTGGGCGGGGTATGATATGTACAGAAGTACAGCTCTGACACTGATGCCGCGATGGAGCAACAGCTTTCCCCTCGCTGCTGACTTCACACTCCAACTATATTTTAAGCAAATTGCCAGTAAAACCGGTTTAAAAAAAGTAATGCCATCAGTGCGGACACTAAGGTTCCATAAATAAACTTCTGATGAAGGCATTTTAGCCCACATAACTCTTACACATATATTTCCGGTTCGTGATTTGTGGATTTTTTTACCTTGGATGGATTTGGTAAATATTATACCATGGCAATAGGCTACCATTTCATTTGTTGGGCAGCAACAACGGATAGTGACGGATCATCACTTCGGCTCGCACTTTCTTGCAACCGTGCTATGCTGTGACGGGGATAAGTATTTCCAGTCACAGTGATTCTGGCTGGCATGGTGAGTATCATGGCCAGGGATGTCCAACAAGTACATCTAGATCTCAGGATCGTCTTCATCTTCTGGCTGGTCTTCTTCTTCTTCTTCTTCTTCGTTGATCAGCTGCAGCTCCATTGCATCCCCCCTGTAGGGCTGGCCGCTTGCCTCGGTGTCCGCCTGTTTGAGTTCCTGACGCCGGTCATACCCCAGCCAGCCCGATATCAAAACAGCATCGGCTACGATCTGCACCAGATGCGCTATGATGCACGGGATGGCCATGAGTCCCTGATCACCAAGACTTGCTGGAAAAAAGCTCAGCACTGACAGGGCGACAGCAAGTGTCTTCTGACTGCACAAGATGACTACAGCCTTCCTGACCGGCGCTTCCAGGCGGAGGATAAGCGACGCTAGAGAGTTGAAGGCCAAGAGCAGTGCGTGAAGTCCTAGTGAGATTCCAAACAATGCGAGGAACGCTAAAGGCTGGATGCAGTCGAATGAACCTTTGTCACTAGTTACACTGATCTTTATCCAAGGCAATATGATAAGAAACACATTTCCAGCTACTTTCATGGATACCCTGTACTTGTCCACAGTCTCGACCACCTTGGGTATAAAGCGCAATGCTTTCCCCACCTAAGACAGGCAACGAGAAAAATAGCAGGGTGAAGTTAACAAAGCCCTGCACGAACAAAGCCGAGTCATACCCACCCCCGTGCAGGCCAGTGGAACTACTGATGGCGAAAAGTTCAAGCAATGAGATGCGTCCTCCTGTGGCAAGTTGGCAATACGGCCATCTGTCAGAAACAACCGTATCACCAGCTTGCCACAATAGGGGCATGCTGAGCCACACAGACCCCGGTACCCGAAATGACAGCGGTGTGTGATCCTGTACACCCTAGTAGAAGCGAATATCATAAGTTAGCCAAGGTTGCACTGGTCAAACAAAGCACAGCAAGACAAACCTTCACTTACCAACAATGGTATGAGCAGTGTCAGCACAAGTTTGAGCAGCAGCTTGGCAGCATCCAGTTTCACGCTGGCATCAAACTCAGCCAGCCAGTTCAGTAGTCCAGGCACCGTTCCAATACCGACCAAGTTGCAAACGACGGTCAGCAACAGAGCAAGTGCATAGTTACCATTCAACTGGGTGACCTGTAAGAAAGTAAAACAGTGAACTATTTTATTTGCATTGAAAAAATTCTGATGATGGCCCCTGGCCAAAAATTCGATTGAGACATGAATAATTTGCAGCGAAGAGACCACTTGATTTGAGAATGGTGTGTGTAGGGTCTTTCATGTAATGAAGTGGCTGCAGTGGCGCTTTTGTGCCTACTTCGAAGTAATGAATTGAAAAAATTGGAAAAAACATCCACTTGAATTGCGTGAAAGCGCAAGGTGAACTACGTAGGTTGTAGTATTCAAAACCTTTCACTGGGTTTATATTTCAGCCGACAATGGCTGCGTACCCCCGGAAAACATCACCAACACATTACACATTGGGTACAGGACAACTTGTATCCTGCAACTAATCTCTCAACCAAAAAATTCAACTGCCAGTACTTGTACTTTGAAGTGCAAGTACTGGCAGTTGAACAACAACAAAGATTGCCAGGCTGCACGTCGATGACAGAGTTCAAATTATGTGGCGGACACACTATACTAGTAGTAAGTTTACAAGATATCCGCACATTCATCCGTAGTTATACTTAGAAGTAGGACAAATGTTCAACAGCCTGAAGTCTGTCCTACTTCTACAGTGCATTTCAAAACTATAGACGCGTAGGGTTTTTGAAATATTTCAAATTTGGCTGGGACTTTTTGAGAATAGTTTTCGGAATATTGCTCAGGATCGCTCCACAATTACTCTCATATAGTTTCTAAAGGATTGGATAACAGACGCCCAATTTGGAAAAAATTATGCACAAAGTGATCACAGATTTTATGTGGTATAGATGCTGGCATAACGGTTTTTGCCTAGGTACGCGTCTATAGTTTTGAAATGGACTGTAAGTATAATTGCATTCCTGTCTCCAAGGAAATTATCCGTAGTTGTCCACCATTAATACAACCAAGAAACTGGGGAGTCAGAATGTGCAACTCTAGCACAATATCGATGAATGGAACGGGCATTCAAACAGAACAGTTGTGAGCTGTCGGTTCTCTACCGACCCTATACCGCATCTTTTGGAGTAAAAGCCGCACCCAGAGTCATTGTCAAAGAATACAGACATCTACCATGTATCTCGAAGAAGAGGTTGGTGCGACTTCGGCAATACTTAGGGTATTGTGTGCCGCTCCCTACATGGGAGCTCGCGCTTTTCCTGCCGACTTGAATCTCACTTGACTGACTCACGACTGCCATCCAGAGCATACGAACTAGATGGCTTGGAGGCAACAACGCTGTGAATGGCCAACAGTCGTCAGCGCTTGTTCTGCACCTCCATGAGCGACACTGACTCACGCTGCTGTTTCAGTGGAGTTTGCGAGGTGTTTGTCGCGCTGGAAACAAGGTGTCACTGAAAGTTGGTATCCCTAGTGATGTTTAGGCTCGAAGAGCACTACATAATGCAGAGCTTTCTGAGCACAGATTTCATTAGCCTACTCAAGTTCAACTGATGAGCGGTGAATTCCCCGAAACACTGTGTATTGAGCAGGGAGTGGTGCTTTCCTGGAGGTTTGCCGAGTGGAAGGTTCGATGGACTTCTCGTGCGCTCTGGATGGCAGTCGTGAGTCCGTCAAGTGAGATTCAAGTCGGCAGGAAAAGCGTGAACTCCCACGTAGGGAGCGACACACAATACCCTGTATTTCACGGTTCATTTGACAACCGTATTATAAGCCACATCGACTTTTTTCGGGTGAATTATGAGCGTTTAAAGTGCGGCGTATGCTCTGGAAAATACAGTACTTCTTCACCTGAGTTCGACCGCATTACTACGGGACGGGATTGCATATAATGCACCTGAGAACTATATACATACATTACATATCATGCACCTGAGAGCTAATACATACCATGACAACACCCGAGGAAACAGTACACGGCATGGCAAAGAAGACTTGCAACCCAGTGCTGAACTCTCGAGGACCCAAGGGTGGCGTCTCCTCGGACGTGTTCGCCGTACAGCTGGCCAGGACATCGCTAGAGTTCGCCGAGCCATTGGCATCCACCGTTGCGATGTCCAGACGGCCGAATTGGCTGCTCATCAATTTGATCAGCTCCAGTGACACCACTGACGTCAGAAATAGTATACTGAATATGCCATACACGATGCCTTTCCATGATTTCAAGGCTTCCTTGACGTCATCAGTTTTCAGCTTTAGTCCACTGAGAAGGAAGATGAGAATAACGCAAATATAGTTGGCTGGGATCTTGCTCACCGCCACACCTGGTGTTGGCCATAGGGCACCCAGTAATACTGCGAACAACAGTCCCAAGGGCAGATGATGTTTGAACGCGAATGCGCCGACTTTTCGCAAAGCCGACTTTGTGCGTTCCTGCCAGTTTGCCATGGCAGAAACTTTCCACAGGCACCGCGTTCTTCAATAGCTACTGTGTACTAGGAACAAGCCAGCTGGCACGTGATCGACACAAACTGCAATTACTGCATGTACTGATGAAGTGTATAACATGAGTTTTCAATTGATACGTCCACTGCACTTGACGAACTTGAAGTGAAGCGTTGTGCCTTCAGTTTAAATACCAGGTCGACGTTGCAGTACTCGATAGAAGATGTCTCGTCACAAATGGATAAGTTGACATGAGTCCTAAATTCTGGAAATCCCAGTGAAGTATGGTACGAAGGACAATAAAAATATATCTACAATTTTTTTAAAGTGAGTATGTTTCGGAGCTGATTACACAAGTAAACCTGCTGTCGCCAGTGTTGGCAACGACACTAAAACTAGCGGCCTCTAAAACAATACTAGCAGTAATATACTAGAAGTTGTAGAACAAGAGGGTCCCTGTGTGTCACTTATTCGACCATTGGCATTGTCAACAACAGCCTTGAACAGGGTCCAGTAGTTTTGCTGCCTGATCAGTCCACAGTGGAGTCAGGACGCCAAAAACACGCTCCATTGATGCCATGGAGACCAGCTTCGGCATGCGCACGTGACAAGGAGAAAGCAAGAAAAAGCTTCTTGTGTTTGTACGTGTTTTTTTTGTTGCTTGCGTTTTTCTACACTTCTCGATCATACCGGTCAGTGAGAGAATTTTTAGTTTGATTGCGAGGCCCGAACTGTCGAGCATATCTGGCTCGAAGTTCATAGGAAATGGACAAGGTGTGTTTCTGTGCCGCTTTGGCACTCGCTTTGGCTCTCCCTAGCCAGGGGTCCTTCTCGCCACCAGATTTCAATGGAAGGCCGAGAGGAGTAGCGAAATCAAGTAAGAAATTAGAATCAATTTGGCACCATGCATCATCACTTTCCGAGCTGGGCACAGTTTACCTTCATCACACAGTCGTTGCTGGTTCTTGAGAACTATTGATCTCCTACTGATGTCTCTGGAAAGGGGAGCTAGTGCCTCTGTTGAGTAGCGTGATGTCACGATATCACACCGCATGACCATCTGCCAAAAGTATTACAATAATAGTACAGTGGCCACTTTATATTGCGGCAGCATTTGTGCTACAGAAATTCTGCAGGATTGGGAAGGATACTGGATTAAACAAATCTGATTTACTGCTGCAATATGCATGAAGAGCTCATATTGGTCACTGAAAAGTGTTCTGGTTTATAGAGGTTGTTCGCTTCTATCGTGCTGGATTAAAGAGGGGCGGCTGTAATTACTTCAACAGCTGACCCACTGAATTTCCTGTTACCACAGAGATGCAATTTTATGATTCGAGCAAGCCATTCACGTGCCTGGACGGATCCAGGTCGATGCCGTTCGATCAGGTGAATGACGATTTCTGCGACTGCCCTGACGGATCCGATGAACCAGGTGAGTGCTTGGTTGCCAATACGCTGTTATCTCTGAAGAACGGTACAGCACAGCTTGCACCATAATAACAAGAGCAGGCCTGGCGGAACCGGTCCGGTTGGTCAGGTCATGGCCGGACCAACTTTTTGGCCACCAAACGTGTGTTACTGCTGAGGAGGTCATGCGTCTACCCTCCATTTCATACACAGCATGAAAGGCTACGGCATGACCGGACCAATCCAAAACTGCTTCCGCCGGTCCTGAATTAGAGTACATGAAAACAAGAGTGTGCAGCTCGGATGGGTTGCAGTTACGGCGGAATTCCGTGATTACATCATTTTAGTGATGTAGTGCGTACAAGCAGGATTCAAGCAGGTCTCTTTCTGCACAACTGCAGCTCAGTTGTACACACTACGTCCCTTCCCGCCTCAAATCTGCGCCATATATGGTGTAATCACGGAATTCCGCCGTGACAGACACCCATAGTAGAAAATGCCCCAAGCTGCAGCTTGCACTCTGGTTTTCATGTACTCTTGCTAATAACGAAGATGACTGTGATTTGGTACCCGTGCATCCCGTTGATCTGTCCGGCTCAATTTTCAACAATATGCTATGCTAATACTAGGCAAATAGTTAAAGCACATTGTTGGAAAGCATGGAGCTTTCGTAAAGTCGACGATTTCCCGCTTCTGTTATAATCACGCTTCTACAGTCAAGGTCAAACGAATAACCCAACACCACCTGGTCAAGTGAAGGAATGTAATGCACTAGTGACTACGCATGCATACAGGCTGATGCTGCATGGAGACCTGGGCACTGTACATGTTTTAAAATTTTTATTTTGGTGGGGGTCAGACTTCTTTTGGACTCGTGCCGGCAATTGCCATCAGAGTTGTCACTTTGCTTGTGCTGCTGTCTTTGCCAATGGCCCTAGTGCCAGCTTAACACCGGCTTGCCCTAGCTGGTTAGAGTTACATTCTCCATGCAAGGTTGTAATTCACTATTGACATGTTTTGTTTCCTCTTTTCTTTTCAATTTCCTTGCCAGGCACACCGGCCTGCTCTTCACTCGGAGGCAAGTTCCACTGTGCCAACAAAGGCCACAAGCCAGCCTACATCCCTGCATCACGTGTCAATGATGGCATTTGTGGTAAGTTTGTTGTTCACATGATGGCTAGCTTCTTCATGCAGGATGATTTTCCCACATCGACTGCATACAGTTATGTATCATACATTACAGTCATTACGTTTGATATGTCACTTGCTGTAGCTATGTGGGTATAACCAGCTGGGAAACGACACGGCGGGGCTGGATCGATGGTACTTTATGGCGCTCTTAGTCTCTCTCTCTCTCTCTCTCTCTCTCTCTCTCTCTCTCTCTCTCTCTCTCTCTCTCTCTCTCTCTCTCTCTCTCCCCCCCCTTAACCCTCTACGCAAGGTGTTGTCTCAGTTTTCCGCATCGTACTACATGCATTAGCCCATATATCTGGCCTCATGTGTGTTCTGTGTAGATTGTTGCGATGGATCGGACGAATATGATGGTCGCATTCAGTGCGCCGATTCTTGCAAGTACGCCATGAGTGCCGTTGATTTGTTGCTTGTCAGGTTGTGTACTAAATAAATACGATGTGCGAGTGTGTTTACATTATCTTTCTGGTATTACTTCCCATCTGTGAAGTATTACAGGGGGTGGGGGTAGTGTGTTGCTCCACAAGCCTAGAAAAAGATCTCTGAGTCGTAGCCTTGGTAAGCAGGTGCAATCGTTGTACTTCAAAGTACATGTGTGTTGATTTGGCTTGTTCTTTATTCCATGGTCCTTTGCAGAGAACTGGGTGCTAAGGCACGCGAGGAGACCAAGCGTTTGCTTGAAGTACAGGAAAGGGTAGGTCATGCTCCGCACTTGTCACTTACCTTCAGCTTCGTTCTTCGTACTTGCTTTACTGTCTGGCGATTGATATAGCCATTGTGGAACTCTTTATTCTCTCCTCTCTCTCTCTCTCTCTCTCTCTCTCTCTCTCTCTCTCTCTCTCTCTCTCTCTCTCTCTCTCTCTCTCTCCTTTTTCTTCGCCTAACGAGCCGTTGCCGAATCCATAAGCCAGATTGTGCTATGAGACGTTCCTCCTACATGCAGCTGTCTTGGTGCCCTGTCTCTTTGGCATTGGAATGCTTTGCAGGGTTATCAGCTGCGCACAGAGTACAGTCAGCAGGGCGCTGCCAAGCAAGAGGAGAGACGAGTGAGTTTCTGTACATGTGCAATGTTTGATCATTCTTTGTACATCATGTGTACATACCGTAGCCTAGTAGGTGCATGCCCAGCGCTAGGCACGAGCACTGCATATGCCATGTTCTGTTTTAGTTAAAAGAGCAGTGTAGATGCTGCCCTGCCTGATTTTCCAGTGGTGTGTACGTGATTTTCACCTGTAGCAGCATCGACGCCACTGTCATGTAGAACCTTAGCCAATGCTGGGTGGTTTCAATATGCTTCTCGAACGTGTGTGACTGCCCATGTCGGGACTTTTGTTTGTTTGATGCACGTCTGTCTTCTCTTGTTGGTGGTGTTAGCGGTCACGGTGGTTTTACTGCTGCCATCACCACCACTACCACCGCTGTTCCTGCCATTGATATTGTTACTGCTTGTGATGCGTGCAATATCCTCTGCCTAGACTGAATTGGCTACTCTGGAAGCTCAGCTGAAGGATGCCGAGACGGAAGCCGAGCGGCTGCAAAGTAAGCACCTTGAATGATGATGTTGTTTTGATACGAGCCCCTGTTCGTGCTGTGTCCTTCTTCTTGACAAGCTCTAGGGTACTCTGTGTTCTCTTTGCAGAGGTATTTGCAATTGTGCTCAATGGCTGTCCATTGACTGCGGGTATGTTGTAGTGCTGTATTGACAAACCAGTATAATTGTATGCATAATATGTCTGTCTGTTTGTCTGTCTGTTTCTAGAGCTGAAGGAGGAAGCGGAAGCACCAGAAACCGAAGCCAAGGATGTGCACAAGGCTGCTTGGGATGGTATGGTTCAGAAAATTCTTCTGCTTCCTTTGCAGTTGTTCTGTTGAGGTCATGACAGTGGTCTCACCCATTTATGCATGCTTTTGGGCTTCGTCAGCATCGCTTCTCATCTACTGTACCTGCATTCCTCTCTTCTTAATTTGTTTGGGGGGAATTTGAGATTTTTAACTTCAAGCAAGGCAGTATCACAGTAATAATAATAATAATAATTGTTTCCGTTCATATGTCACTCATGGAAGGATCCATGGGCTTAGCACATCTGTCAATGAAACGGAGGCAGAAGAGCCAACAAAAGGCATCTCGATATTGTTAGAACATATTGCAGTAAAAACAACTACGCAAGCGCAGCACATTTTTCCACAAGCATCCGCCATCACAGTAGTGAGACTGTAAAGTTAAACCCTGGAAGCATCACATCAATCTTAATCTGCTCCTTTTCAATCTCTACCGTTGCAGCGCAAAAGACTGAAGAGCAGCGAGAGCAGGCAGAAGCAACGTTCCGTGACCTTGATGCTGATTCTGATGCAGCGTAAGTTTTCTTTCCCGGTGCACTGCACATTAATCTCCGAAGATTTTCCACCCAGCATGTATCCTCAATTTCCATGGTGGATCACTGATTTTTGTTGCACGTGTTATCAGAGTTTGTGCCTGAACTTTGAGGAGTTTATTGCACCCATCATGGGCAAGATGTGTATGTGTGCTTGCTTGTAAATGTGCAGGCTGACGATAGCTGAGATCCAGGCTCGTCCCGAGTTTGACAAGGACCAGAGTGGTGATGTCAGCGAGGAAGAAGCTAAGGTACTGACGTGCTTGTTGTGTGTACTACTTATGGTGGTATCTAACACTGATTCCCAGCACTTATGCATGCAGGGTGTCCGGGATGAGGCCTGCGTGTAAAGTCAACCTCAATAAGGCAAACTTAGAAGTTGCGACTTCGGCGGTAATGGTCATGAAGTTGATTGTTCCAACTAGGAACACACGCTTCTTGCCGAACTTGACACTTGACTGACTCACGACTGCCATCCGGAGCACATGAGGAGCACGTCGCACCTTCCACTCGTCCACTTCCACAAGTGTCAAGTTCGGCAAGAAGCGTGTGTTCCTAGTTGGAACAATCAACTTCTCAGTAAGGCAATCGTATGAAATAGGTAACGACTTGTTATACCAGTCACAATGCACTCCAATCATAATCACATTCACAATGAAAACCCTAACTGTTCCTTTCAAATCTCTGCATGACACCTATTGCTTGTCCGGCCAGCGATAATCATCATTTTCCTTGGGCATTGCTCTGACTATGGTATCACCACTTATTCCTATATTCACTTGTTGCTGCGACGGGGTCCTGCTCAAACTGTGTGTGGACCTTGGGTTATCATCGAACTGAAGCCCTTGTCACTGGGCTGCTGATGGGACACTGTTGGACATTCGATGTGTGTGTGTGTGTGCACGTGTGTGTGTGTGTGTGTGTGTGTGCGTTTGTGTGTGCATATGTGTATGTGCGTGCGTGTGTGTGTGTGGTTCATGTGCATGCGCGTGCTAGGAATGGCTCGGCGGTGAGCCCACACGTGACATGGATTACTTTGCTAGTGATCTCTGGAAGACTGTCTCAGATGTCTATCAAAAGCCTGGCTCTGTGAGTGAAACCTTCTAGCTCTTTTCAATAATTGTTCATTTGTCTTCCGTGCTAATATTGCCAGTGCTGCTGCCAGGGGGAAATAGTTTGCCCTTTATGGAGTTGCATAGCTGGGCAATTGCACTGTGTTCATCCTGTGGGCCTTTATCACCTGTCCGTGTATTTCTGTGTGCAGCAGATGACGTCAACAACATGGCTGTGTAATACTGCGTGACTAGCGTCACTGCCCATTAGTGGCGTGGCAGTGTTCCCGTCCTCCATGCAAATTCCACCGTAATAATACGGTCTTCGCGTTGCTATGTATTCTTCTGACTGTGCTGATCTACCGCCTCGTGTGTTGTGAATTTCCTTCTGTGTGCACTCGCATTGGTGTGTTTGAACTGTAATTTGTCAGGATTGTGTGTATGTACATCTACGTCAGAGTGGAGGTGTACTGGTTCGTTGTGTGGACTCGTTTCTGATCATGTGGGTGTTATTGGCTGGTCTTTTCTTGTGCAGTATGAGCCAACGGCGCCGCCACCACCACCGCCAGAGGGCGGCGAAGCCCCGCCAGTCGAGCCCCCGGCGGAAGTGCCCGCCCCAGAGGGAGATAGCAACAAGGCAGGTGAGAGCGACAATGCAGTCGACCACTTTCCTGAGCAGGAGGAGGAGGAAGAACCTTTCATGCCACCACCTCCTCCAGCAGGTGATGAATATCATGACGATGGAGACGATGATGACGACTATGATGATGATGAGTATGACGAAATTGAGCGGCAGAAGTATCACAATATGAACAACGCCAAAGAAGAAGGCAAGGGCTTCTTCCTACTTCTCCTTCTTCTTCCTTCTTTCCACATAGTTTCCGTGGGCAGAATGACCCTGTCTCTTGTCCTCCTGGCACGAAAGCACTCCTGGAATGTCTATCTCGACTTGAATCTTCGGGTCATTATGAAATGTTGGGATCTCTGCTGATGACGATACTGTGCCAAGTGCCAGAGTCATCTACGGGATTTCTGAGAAAGCCACCTATGGCCATTTCTCAGAAACACAACCTGAATAACACATCTGAGTTTCGTTGAATGCCATGGGGTATTGCTTACTGGGGAATTCATAATTTTATTTTTCCGAGCTGCCCACCTCCCAGCCATGGGTATGTTGACTCTACGACTGGGCTTTATGCTGTTGGGCAGGAGAGGGCGTTTTGTGTAAACTAGTGAACATAAAGCTGTGCTAATAGCAAGAGTCTGTAGATAAAAGTGTGTCACTATGGTCTCCTTTCTATGGGCGAAATGTGCGGTGCACTGCCTTTATTGTCAGTCAGCCGCGTCGCGCACTGCCGAAATCTCAAACAACGCACTTTCTCTGTGGTTTGAATCCAACTTCTGTACGAAACTGAAGTTTGTGAAAAATGAGTTTGCGCCTGTACTTGAACGAATCCAGCCAGCAAAACCGGGTATGCTGATTCTGTACGAGAGACTGTGGAGTTTGGTGCATGAATACAGGGCGTGATGCAGGCAAGTTACGTAAGGAAGGCAGCGCACAGGCCATTGACCACGGTTGCATACTCTTGCTTATGGACTCTTGCAAATAGTTTTAGTCAAACAATTGTGACTTTTCATAATCAATTGATGAATTTGTGATCATTTCAGCACTAAAAAAATGTTGTCCCGTTTCGTGAGCTGTCTGATAAACCGTGGTGATTACACCGTTCTGCTGTAATTTTGGAAATCCTGTTGTTGGTCTTCGCGTTGTTCAGGTGACTACCATATTTTCCGGAGTAAAAGCCACACCCATATTTTTATCACGCAATACAGTCACACACTCTGTATTTCACGGTTCATTTAACCATTACAGTACAAGCCGCACCCACTTTCTTGGTAAATTATGAGTGTTGAAAGTGAGGCTTATACTCCGGAAAATACGGTGGTTGGTGTTCGGCCCACCATCACACACAAACACACACACACACACAGTAGCTCGTTCTCCTCTTGTCTTTCTTTGCCATCATCTTTTCCCCTCCTCCTGCTCTGCGGCATGCCTTCCAACTGAGTCGCTGATTCCATGTTCTTGATGTCTGTTTGCTGGATGTGTGTGTTTGGTTTCTTGTTATTGTAGATGTAGAGGAGGGCATGCCAGAGTATGATGAGGCCACCCAGGAACTCATCAAGGGTGAGTTATGTGGCTTCCGATTAATGTGTGTGTGTGTGTGTGTGTGTGTGTGTGTGTGTGTGTGTGTGTGTGTGTGTGTGTGTGTGTGTGTGTGTGTGTGTGTGTGTGTGTGTGTGTGTGTGTGTGTGTGTGTGTGTGTGCATGTGGGTGTTTGCGTGCAACCTCACGAATAACGACTACTCGTGAGTAATGACACTTTTCTCATGCACGATCGCAGGTCGTTCTTCACAAGGTTGACTGTATGTAGGTGGCTGTGATGAGTATGTGATGAGTGCTTACTTTGCCTTCCCTGCTTTGTGTGTTATGGGCTGCAGTTGCTGATGCTGCACGCAGTTCCTACGAAGAAGCAGACAGGAAAAAGGATGAGGTCAAGAGGAACATTGAGTAAGGCTTGTTCACAGAAGCATGGTCATGCACGCGCCAAAGTGGGTGGTGGTGGGGGGAGGGGGGTGCTTTCTGTGGAGCAGGGGTAGTCGCATGTCAGGATTCCGTGTTTGTGATATTCAATGTGTGCATGAGCCACTGCAGACTCTCTTACTGTCCCTTCTTAGCATGTTTATTACAATCATTAGGTCTTGTGCTTACTAACAGCGCTAGGTGTTCACATACTTCACATACTAGTAGAGCACCTCAACTTGGATCATCTTGGTGCGTGGCGTGTTCCGAAGAATGAGGTAGAAGCAAATACTCGTCTTTGAGTGCCTCGTAGACTACAACTTGTTGAACAACTTGACGGATTTTACTAGGTTCCATCCCAAAGGAAAATCTTTATCACAGACAGCAACAACATTTTCAGTATCATCACACAGGGTCAAACTTTCTTCCTGGAGCTTTCCAGCCCATTTGAGACATGCAACCGAGTGTGAAAACCCAGGGCAGCAAAGATTTTCTAGTATTAGTACATTGTACATGTATTGATGCTTGCTTGTCTGTGTGTGTGTGTGTGTCTGTGTGTGTGTGTCTGTGTGTATAGCGATCTGAACCGCAAGCTTGACGTCGACCTGGGCCCCAACAACGAGTTCCAGCCACTTCAAGGGAACTGCTATGACTTCACTGACAGAGAGTAAGTCCGGTGCATGGCCATCACAACATAGTCATACAGTGTAACTAGCACCATGCAGTACAACATCTTACATGCCTCTGCCTTTTTAAACAGTACGAGGTGAATTGCTATTTCTGGACATTTCGAGTAAAATAATTTTTCGTCGCGTGTAGAGTCAAGTCAGCCGGGTTGATGAAGTTTTTTTCTTGCCGTAGTTGACAGCTGAGCTGTTGTAGTTTCTCCTCGTGTCGGTGCCTTGTTGATAGCCTTTGCTTGTGAGGCATTTCAGCGAGTTTTGTGGTACTATGTCGCATGAGAGTTTTGAATTTTGAGTAAAATAAGAAGTAATGGACGAATCGTTGGCTTCCCCATCACTCCACTTCAGACGCTGTATAGTCTTGGACCTGTTGGCTGGAAGTGTGAAGAGGCCAACTGCAGTCCACCAATAGAAAAATAACAAAAATGGTGCAGTATAGGATGCCTATTGACGCTATTTTACTTTCATGTCCAGAACTCCATACACTGAAATTTAGGCCAAAAAATTGGCCTGTCGAAAACATCCTGCTATAAAGTCTCTGGGATCACAGCATGAGCAATTGTCACATATTTGGAAAGATGAAGGATTAGGCCATACAATAGATACAAAAAGATATGAAAAATGTAAAACACACAGCCAGTGGGGCTCTATTTTATTTTCATGTCCAGAAATTGCTATTCACCTCGTAGAGATATTAAATGACCCGCGCTCTGCGAAAACCGACCTAAGGTGCTTTGTAATTTTTTCGAGAAAAAGAACAAAACGTCACGGTCTGTCGATTTTTGAAGATCACAAAGTGAGAGTCATGGCGGAACGAAGCAGAAGACAGTCGCTAGCTCAAATAATTGCTGTGGGCTTCTCCCAGAGGTTTCATCCGAACTCCTTTACGATGAATAGTCATTTTTTGGCCTGGTCCAATCGCAGTTCTGATGACAGCAGTGCCAAGGAGAGTTGGATGTGGAATCGCAGGACGCAACGCTGATCGAGCTGGACGGCCATGCGGAGGAGAATTTCGATCAGGCGTCAGTTTTGCCACCAGCCCAGCCCCTCAATGCCAGCAATAAACAGAGTGCAGACCAAGAAAAATCGGTTCAAGTACTGTCTACAATCCAGGAGGCGCGCGACAAGTTTGACAAGGGCTGTAGTTGTTCCGCACTGGTGCTGTTTCAAGAGCGTGACACTTGAAACCTTGCTTTATATTTACAGCGCACACAGCGCACGTCCTGACCAAGTCAGAGCGCTGCTTGTGTGTAGGCGGAAAGCTAGACGTGGTGAGGCTACCCAGCGCGTCCAGCATGCTGGGAGATGTGATAGATGGGGCTCAACAATACTACTCTGAACTACTGAAGACTACAGTCAGTGGCTGGTGTGGAAGTCATGGACATGCATGAGAGGAAGTCTTTGTGTATGCCTCCACTGCTCCAGCCCAGGATCAAGCCCTGGGTGCTGAAATCTGTGCAGGCTGCTGTCAGTGCAAGTGAAATCAGCCCAACACAGGAATGAACTCTGGAATGCACTGCCTGTGGAAGATGTTGTGGAGCTGAAGCATTTTATAGAGCATTATGCTTTAGCTCATGGCCTCCCTTAACCCTCAGATCCACATGGGCACAACAAGCCAGTACCAACCTACATGTATTTGCCCAGTATCACTACGAAGAAGCTTGTTCACCAGGCGTTCACAAAGCCTGGTGGCAAAGCTGCATACAGTACGTTTGGCAAGATTTGGAAAAGAGACTGCCATGATATCACCGATTATGAAACAATGTGTGCGGCAGATGTAGACATAACTAGATGTTCTACTACCAGTACCAGATACAACTATCAATATCCTTTAACCCGGGATTGATCCGAGCTTCTTCACTACTTTGCACCTGCCTCTACCATCACTCTGGCTGGCATATCCTCATACAGAGCCAAATACCATGAATACCTCTTCCAGCAGATTCGTGAGCAACACCATCCACAGAAGAGAGAAAGAATGTGTCTATCTGCACAACAGGAAGATCCAATGCCATCATAAACCTTTCCTTTTGAAGATTATGACATACAGATTTATTCGCAAAGTTTGGCTGCAATCATGCTGCTTGAATTCTCACAGCATTGGCTCCAAAATGTAGCATAAAATCCAGGATTTTTGCTACTTTTCCACAAAATATTGTAGGAAAAGTGCAAAGAAATTGTCATTGTATCTAACTGAATATGTATGCAATCCACCTCAAACTTCACCAGAAGTTGAAGAAAGGGTCATGGGTCAACAATCCAGCACAAACTCAATTTCGCCAAAATAGCACCTAAGGTCGGTTTTCGCAGAGCGCTGGTCATTTACTTCTGTGATCTGCTCATTCCCTTTGGCACATACTGTACATACACGTACTTCTCTGCTCATATTTCTGCTCCTGTGTTTGAGTTGCTTTTTCCCTTACCCTTGCTGCCCTGTTGTTTATTGCCATGTCTGCAGGTACACGTATTCCCTGTGTGCTTTCGACCGCGTCTCTCAGAAACCTAAGCATGGTGGCAGTGAGACTAGCCTTGGGTAGGTGCTTCTCTGTAAGGCTGAACCAATTATACCGATAACTCGCATATCGATCGTTAAGAGTGCAATCGATAATCGTTAGTGTTCAAAACGAGTGCTAACGATTTTTAAGCATGTATATGAGTGACAGTATTCTAGCCCTTGCACTCCATCCGATAGTGAATATGAGTACAATCATGTACTTTCAAGCGCAGTAAAATTGATTTGTGGCTTTGAAAGAGATCGGAAGAGAATACTCTTTGTCTTTTCAGTTCATTTGCGGGAAAGGTCAGAGATAAGAACAGTTGCCGGAGGGTGATGACAAGATTCTTCGCTGTAGAAACAAAATGAAATTCTCTAGGTCATGTTGATAAACCAGCCAGATGTCTACAGATGTCAACAGTGCGGTGCCACAAATTTCTAACGTAGCAAAGGTATCGTGGAATTTTTTCATAAACTGGTGTTTGAGGTACACGGGAAGAGCCGACAAGAATCGATAAAACCAATATATCGATCGTTAATGATATTGGTTGATCGTTAAGAGTTATTGAATGATCGTTTCAGCCCTACTTCTCTGTGTCTTTGTCTCTCTCTCTCTCTCTCTCTCTCTCTCTCTCTCTCTCTCTCTCTCTCTCTCTCTCTCTCTCTCTCTCTCTCCTCGATTACCTCAAGGATAGCTTGTACAAGCACCTACTCGTATGATTCCCGGTGTGCTTTGTTCAATCTCGTCTCACTGATTGCTGTTTTGTTTTTGTGACCAATGCAGAACGTGGGGTAAGTGGGATGGAACTGACAACAAATACTCTGTGATGAAGTTTGAGAACGGTTTGAACTGCTGGAATGGACCCAACAGATCAGGAACGGTAAGCTGAATTCTCACCGAGTGTTGTTCACAAGAATTCCTGCAAATTGCGCTTGCCCGTAAGAGCAAGTCCTGATTGCTTTGTAAGTTTGTAGATCTGCAGGTATCTATTTGAGTTGGTTTCCAACTTGCCCAGAAACCCTTAGGCATAATAATTATGATTTAACCAGCCCCTATTTAAAAGATAATTATAGTTATGCCCCTGACAGTAAACTACAGGCTTGAAGACCATGATCGGTTGCTTGTGGCATCGGCTTGTATGGCCAGTTTATCGGGGCATTAGGCTAGAAGCCCTTCAATAGCCCACCCCAGTTACACACCTGGGTCTGCAACCACAGCTTGTCTGTCCTATGCATACCTGACTTCTATGCTGTTTCCTTCACTCACTTGTAGCTATCCTTCTAGTTTTATTTCTATTGGCCTGTGACCCGTGTTGCCGCTTTCCTTCTGACGTTTCTTTTTCTTTCTTTTTCATTTGTATTTTCTGCTTTCCAATATGCTCTCTTGTTCTGTACACCCTTGTGTTATGAACGTACAGGTAAAACTTCGCTGTGGTGAGACGAATGAGCTTGTGTCGGCCGCAGAGCCCAACCGTTGCGAGTATCTCTTTGAGTTCATCACACCCGCTGTTTGTGAACCTCCGTCAGCCGCCGGCCAAGCAGTTGATTCTCACGACGAGCTTTAGGGGGCCTGACCGTGCGTGCGCATTGGGTTGATGTGCCTTCTCCCCAAACCCTGCCATCCGGTTCGAGCTGGATGTCCCCCCGTTCGCCGGGGTCGCCTTGCTGCACAGTGGGCCGTGCCTATCCACCGGCCTGTCCCTGTGTTCTTTGCCGTCGTCGGGTTGTGCTGACATTTGCTGTCATAAAACTTGTGACGAATTGGCTCATGCCGCTGACTATTGACTGGGATTTCCTCTCTCTCCAGCTGCTGTTCAATACCATTGCGCCATGTTTTTCACTTGCTTTCATTTACCATTTAAAGTTAACATTATTGATTAGATGTGATTGCGTTGCTTTCATCCGTTTTCCAGATTCAAGCAACGCTTCTTCAATATGAAAAAAATAACAGGAACACAACAGGCTGTCGGCTGATTGTGTGGAGTGCACGCTTTCCACAAGTGGATGGGGGGCTGCAAAGGACGAACATCTTGGTAAATCAGATCTGAGAGCAGATGGACATGCTCCAGGATCATTGTGGCTGTGAACGTATTTACTATTTACACAGCAGCTACAGTCACTCAGTGCCTTTTTTTTAGAAAGAAGAAAACTGGGTCGTCAGCTAAGTAGTTCGCAGCATCATTCACTCTTCGGGTATCAGCACTAGACAGCGGAGCTCTAGAGCCAGAGGGCACACAGCACATTTTTAAAATAATAATTATGTTTTTACAGAGCACCGGGGTCATAGACTCTTGGAGTCTTGCTACAAATACAAAGACTATAAAGTGATCATGATCGATCATTGCATAATTGATGACAAGGCATTATCAAGATACCGGTAATCATGGGTCATGGAGTGAGGCCGTAAAATACTAACATAAGGCCGCCTAGAATTAATTCGTTGTTTCGGGTCACTTCACTAATCCGTACCAGGGTCGATCGGTCGGGTTTATTTTATATTAAATTTTTATTTTTATTTTGGTTACGGCCATGTGCATACGTATGTACCATGTGTACATCGAATAGCTTTTGTCCATCTAGCCAGTCGATCAAATCTGACTGTAGTGTAGACAATCCAGCGCAGTCATTGTCCCATCAGATCCAGGTCCCCTCCAGGACCAGATCTTGGCCTCGCTGGCAAACGAGTCTGACGAGCTAGCAGCTCTCACCTTGAAAACTTCTGTAAATAGCGACAAGGTGGCGGAGCTGATGCTGTTTCAGGACCGATTGCGGATCGGAGTCGACGGAGATAGAAGACAACGTCGTTACCAAGCGCTGCATCCTGTCATTCGGCTAGCCATGGCTGCTTCTGAGGTCGATATCTGGACTGCTATTATTAGGGTCGCGTGTGTACATAGTCTAGTCTGTACATTTGCATGCACTATAAAAAAAACCATTTTGCGGTCGGGTGAAAAAAGACGGTCGGTCGGGTGACCCGAAACAACGAATTAATTCTGGATGGCCTAGGCCTAATGAGACATCAATCTATTTCTTCTGTCATTACACATGCATTATTTTATTATCAGTGCACTATTGAGGATCTCAGACGTCAGTGAGCAAGTTCACACGACTGCATGCATGCATGTGCTAGCTTCTCCTCGGGTAGCCACAGAAATAGTTGATTCTGCTCGGTCTCAGGTCCGAGGACGATCGGGGGTCTACGAGTACTGCAGCAGCAAAACGCTCCTCCTCTACTGTCTGTAGATCATCGGACGGTCAACCCACCGTCGACGCTTGTAGTGCCTCGGCGTTCTGTCATGCCACGACTACCAGGGTCGTCTCATCGACGAATCGAGGGAATATCTTACAGGGCCAAATGGCTGGTGGCGTTTCTAGTGCTGTTGCAATCGACCCAGCGCGGTCTACAAGTAGCCGCTGAGTGCGCACTCGGAGAGTGTGCTGCAGACTTACGACGGAATCCAGACTCAAATCGAGCTCCGATACAGCTCCCGGAGAAACCCAACATCATTGTCATCTACGGCGATGATGTTGGCTACGGAGACTTGAATGGCTACGGCCATCCTACTTCTAGGTGGGTGGCGAGTCGGTCAACATATCTGTGCATGTCAGCCGCGGGAAATCATTTTTCTGCCCGTTGTGGGGCTACATACATGTACATGAGGTGGGCTGGGAGGAAAGTTCAAACAGTAATACAATCATGTACATGCTCAGGAAAAACTCTCCACAAAAAATACATGTATGAAAGAATGATGATGAATCCTGGGCAGGATGAAACAACCACACCGTCGCACGCCCACACATGTATGTAAGGAGGACCCTGGGGATGAAAATGAAACATGGCCTTCGCTAATCACTTCTGAATGTACCCGGGTGACCTGCATGCCTTCACCGTGGCATGGGACAACGTAGAGTTTAGTTGAAGGAACCTCATGACTAGGTGCATGGTACACCGGTCTGTACTAGTTACAAGTGTAACGACAGTTGTTGTTGGATCTAAAATCTGCTCAAACCAATGGCCCACCGGTTGAGGGACTGTAACCAGATAGAAGATGTCTGACTGTACTGGTGTAATACAGGTACTGTTGTGGACATGGAAATCTGGTCGGATGACCGGGGCCGACGCCCTCAGTGCGTACAGAGCGTTGCACACCGATCTGTTGATTGTATGTGTACTCACGGCTGCATGGCCAGCGCCCTGGGGCCGCCTGACCTCCGACCGGATTGCAATGTCCACCACAGTACACACATGACTGTACTCTGCGTGTTTGCTGCTGCAGCACGCCAAACCTGGACCGCATGATCCAGGAGGGCATGCGGCTGACCCAGTTCTACTCCGCTGCTCCCGTATGCTCGCCGTCGCGCGCATCACTGCTGACAGGACGCCTCTACCCAAGAACCGGAGTCTACTCTGGCACACCAGGCTCGACCCAAAGTACAGGTATGAAAACATGAAGCTACAGTTGTGGCCAAAGACTTGAAATCCGACCCAGGAGCCTAAAGCACAGCCTAGGCTCATTACACACAGCCCTCAGATGGGTTTTTGGACCGTGCATGAAGTTATCGAAATGGAAACGCGGCACTGCTTTTTGCCTTGTTGATCGGATTTCTTTGGCTATACGACAACACATTGGTTACTAGGCTGTCCACGTAGGACATGTACAACACACCCGCACTGGTTACTAGTACACGCCAGGGCCGGCACCAGTTAGCAATGGATGCACCAGTTTTGAACAAATGAATCCAGCGCTTGTGGAATGCCGACTGACTATGCAAAAGTACTACCCTCGTACACTCCTCACTAGAGTCTATCCCTCACCGTGAAAATTGCTCTTCTTGCTCAGTGAAGATTCATGGAGATAGAGAGTTTCTGCCATGATGCTGTAAAATTGGACAGGACATAATGATCCGCCCCGCACATAATGTGGATCCATACCACCACTCAAAAGCAGGCTCCGGGCATGATGGTAAGCACGGTTGCAGCGTCTAATAATCTTAGCTGCTTTTTGTGACAGTCACATCTTGCTTACTCCATCCTCTTCTACCTATTCGGTTCCCTTGCCTGCCAAGTGGGGAATCATTTGGAGCAGATTAACAGCAAACTATGCTCGGAGTTGTACAGTGCCTGTGTGCGTGTCTCTGCTTATGCTATGACTGTGCAGGCCTGAGTGTCTTCAACCCATTCAGCAATGGTGGTCTGAATCTCTCCGAGATCACAGTAGCACAGATGATGAAGCCGCTTGGATACGCTACGGGAGCGCTAGGTAAGTGGCACCTGGGCACCAAGAAGGAATATCTGCCCGCAAGCCGGGGATTCGACAGCTACTTTGGAATTCCGATGACCCAGAATGAATGCACGTCGAACGTTGAGTCTTCAAAGCAGTTCGGCCCGTGTCCCACCATGCACAACAACACAGTTGCAGTTCAGCCGACGGATGTGCAGAACATTGATGCGGCGTACGTAGCAAACATCAAGGACTTCATGACCGTGCACAAGAACGAACCGTTCTTCTTCTACTATTCGTCACACCACACGCACTTGCCACAATTTGCTGCACCCGGATTCCTGAACTCAACACTACGTGGTCTCTTCGGAGATTCGCTCGCCGAGCTCGACTGGTCAGTGGGACAGATCCTGGATCATGTCGTGGAGCTGGGCATCGAGAACCGGACGCTTGTTGTCTTTTCAGCTGACAATGGACCTCAGCTGAGCGGTGGTGTTGATGGTGGTGAGCAGGGACAACTCAAGTGCGGAAAGGGAACAACGTACGAGGGTGGCATGAGAGAGCCGGGCATCTTCTGGTGGCCGTCGGTCATCGAGTCCGGGAGCATCTCCTACGCGCTGGGCAGCACCCTGGACTTGTCCGTCACCGCGGTCAGCTTGGCCGGTGGCAAGCCGCCACAGGACAGGGCCATCGACGGCTTTGACTTGACGCCAGTGCTCACTGGCCGATCCGAGATTGGGCCACGCGAGTTCATGTTTTACTACAGCGGTCACATGCTGATGGCGATCAGACTGCGTCAATACAAGGCACACTTCTGGACCAAAGGTGGACTGTGTCCGGAAAACTACCATGACCAGGACTGTTGGAGCAGCACTCCGCTGAAGCAGCACGAACCACCTTTACTCTTCGACGTGGAGACAGACCCAAAGGAACGCTTCCCCCTCGACTTGTCACTTTACCCCGTGCAGGTGAATGAAATTATGGACCTGAAAGCAGCGCATAGCAAAGCCATGACATTCTCGCCCGGCGAGATGAACTTGGGTCAGAACAAGGAGAACTTTCCCTGCTGCAACCCAAGTTGCACACCGCGTAACAGCTGCTGTGCTTGTCCTAAATAGACTTGATACTGTACTTCCGCACATATAAGCGCATGTGCTTATGTCCGGACATAAGCGCACCCCCCCCCCCCCCCCAATTATAAGCGCATGTGCTTATATGTGAACACTATTGGTGTAACACCCGGGAGCTGAATATACTGCTAAGCATTGTGATAACACCGTTGTTTAGGACACAGACAAACCTTTATTGCACATATAAGCGCATGGGCTTCTACCCGAACATGTTCACACAGCAAAAATATTTTTTGTAGCAAATTTTCACATATAAGCCCATGGGCTTATATTATAAAACGGTTCTGTTCTGTGTTTAAACCCCATGACCCTATCTGCGAATGTGTATCAATGCCATACAGTCAGCAGCAAAACAAGAAATCATGGGTAAATTCACTCGATCTTTGTGATTTGCTGGATATATAGGTACATTTTGTTTACAATGTCATGTACATTATATCAAAATTGAAATATCTGTACCTCAGCTTTGACAATGAATTCTTTCCTGAATTCAGATAGTGGTAACACCAAGAGTACTCTTGGCAACACTCATAATAAGGATCGCAGTGATGCAGCACAACCCTGTATACTGTCATGTACAGTGCTACTGTGTAGTCTGTGTTGTTAGCCCCTGCATGTACCGGCGATATGGGCGAACCAACCAAGACAACAATAACTATTGTGTTCAGTAGCTTCATGCATGCACATGTAACACACACGTTTACTTTCTCGTCTCGCAACGACAGCAGACAATCCGAATGAAATAGGTTCAGACCTGTGGCAGGCGACTGCCCAGTCCAATCCAGGGAGTAGTACAATACCAATATATTATTATTATTATTATTAGTATTGTGCTACTCCCTGGTCCAATCCATATAACCAGGAAAGCCATGTGATTCAACCCCCCGATACACACCTGGAGCATACATCGGAATGGAACAGACAGGATGGTAGCCTATGCACCAGGGAGGTATTTTACGACTCCATGCTATGAACGTCCTATAGGCTTGCTGCATGGGGCAATCAGTATAGACAGAATGCTACAGAAGTAGACGCTACAGCAGAGTCGAGCGCTCAAGAGCATAGCCTGATGTTCTTATCTTCCAGCAACTTGGCTGCGTTCTTACAGTAATCGCTCGTCTAAGAAGGTTGTTTCCAAGGGGTTAGCCTGGGGCTTCTTATTTTTCTGCAATCTTGCTGCGTTCTAAAGGCACATTCTGAGAAACAATTCGTAAGGCTGCCGGAAACCACCGCCGTTCTTTAGTCTGTGGCGTTCTTACTTCTTAGCATTTCAGGCTGGACGTTCTTGGACTCAATGTTCTTGGACGCGCGACTCTACTGTATCACATTCTTAGAAATACTGCATCATATGCACAAACTACTACATATATTCGGTGCGTGACTCTACTGCAGACACACTGGTACAGTAAGACCTCGCTTACCGGTCTTCTTTTATCCGGATGCCTCGTCGTCCGGAAGAAAATCGTTGGTTATAGATTTACAGCATACGTCATGCATACAATCATATAGTATGTATGTTTGATTATCCGGTCCCCTCGCCTATCCGGATATTTGTGTGGAAAAAGGATGTGTTCGGTTAAAGCGAGGTCTGACTGTACCTTGACGTGAAATTGGAGTTACTAGTTCATTACCACATGCAGTGTACAAACATCTGCACATATGCCAGACTCTACAGGTCAATACTATCACAATAGCAAGAGTTCTCAGATTACCTAGAGTGCTAAACACCGCAAGGATGGAGCATGAAACGCAGCACGGTTACAACAATGACCTAGCCGGTTGTCTCTGTTCCCTTCTGCCTTTGTGGTCAATCCTATCCATATACTAAGCATCATAACTGCTTTTACGGCACTAATTGGAAAATGCAGCCCGGGTAATGACTTCGGAACAGCAGGATTTGTAGCAGGCATGTTCTTCTTCTTTTACATCAATGTGGGGAGGGATAGTCCTATAGTTTGTAACAAATTACTGACCAAGACTGCAGTCATGGGTCGTTTCTGCCATGAAACAATCAAAAATAGCACTGTACAACAATTCCAGTTTGTTGGCCTACTTATTTGTAGAGTTTCACACTCTGACTTCTGCACTCTTGTGTGCACAGCTACCATATAGGGCACAGTTTTGACAGGAACATTCACAGACTGGCCAGTAAATACCAGACTTAATTCTCAAAGGCTGATTGAAAGCACAATGCCAACGCAATACATCCACAGCTACTTCACAGCAATTTGTAATCCTTGATTGACATGCACAAGGTCATGTAGATCTACCCATGTTGTGCGAATCCATGTGTGCGTGCATGCATGCACGCACGCATGAACGTATGCATGCATGCGACACCACAAACCGCAAACCGTCACTTCTACAAAGAATTCCTCACACAATTCACTCCCAATCACACACACACATGCATACGAAGCACAGTGCACAGTACCGTTCATGATCCACAACACACTTATCCAGCGCCAAGAGCAACACTGAGTTGGTTGAAAGAGATGATATATTTCCAGAAATCATCGGGACTTTCAGCAAGAATAGAATTAGTCGAACAGGCCGAATCCCATGTCGTCATCAGACTCCGGGTCGGACTCTGGTGCCTTCTCCGCCTTCTTCTCCTCGGCGGCTGCTGGGGCAGCTGCGGCAGATGTTGCGGCTGCAGGTGCTGCGGAGGCAGAGCCAATGTTGGAGACGAGGTCTCCGATGTTGCGGCCCTCCAATGCCTTGGCGAACAGACCAGCCCAGAAAGGCTCGATGTCTACTTTGGCGGCTGAGATGAGAGAAGAGATTTTCTCTCCAGTTACTTCGACTCCATCGTCGTGGAGGATCAGGGATGCGTAAACGCAAGCAAGCTCAGAGTTGGAGGCCATGTTGACTTGATGTTGGTCAGGAGGAAATCACACAAACCTGAGAAAGAGGGCTCGAACTTGATGCCATGCGCTTTTGTCAGCGAGTTGAAATATTACAACCAGTCCTGATTATTTTTCTTGATAGGCGTCGTCATCTTCGTCCGTAGGGAATCATGCTGGGACTGAGGGTTATGACTCTTGCCCCCGGGGCCGGGCCCCAAGTCTCCGACCGGTTTGCGGTCATGAGTGACATGACCATCCCCGGCTCGGTGCCGTGGCCCGTACCGTGGCCTAGGCTATGATATGACTCGTACTCGTAGATCTATGTGCAGACTATGACTAGTATGAGGCCTCGGCTCGAGGAGAGCTGAGTAGCCTGGTCAACGATATTGATATCGCGATATGATACACACATGGACAAGTCGAGCTCACAACAAGGTCAGCTGCAGTGCGTAGAGTTGCTGTAGTAGACGTGTAGGTCTACATGATTGAATTTACATACTGTAGACCTTCAGGTTCAGGCTTCACTTCCGTTCCTGTGTGAAAACGAAGCACAGGATCCAACAGATAATCATGGAGAACGCTTCTGCTGCGCGGTCTGAGGCCGCCGCCAAAGCGGACGGTAGTGAGGAAGCCACCCGCGGAGAGATGAAAGCCTTCTGGGAAGATCACTGCACGACCGCATCGCTTGAAGACGTCATGTTGGACTCTCAAGCCGCAGTTCTGAACGAGGCGGAGAAGCCAGAGATTCGCAGCATGCTGCCGGACCTGAAGGGACTCCGCGTTCTGGAGCTGGGAGCAGGCATCGGGTACGTACAGTAGGGGGTCGCGTACAACAAACTTGTCAAAAGGGCAATGGGTTCGATGAACTATGCTAGCTCTCATTTTGAGTGTGATTGTTTGTCGTACATGTAGAACTACATGTACATGACTGATTGTTCATGTACATTTAGCAAAAATCCATATCCTTGATAGCATCATCCATGCAAGTATAGTAGATGTATTCCAGATCTCTTGCAGAGTCACACTCGCCCGTGACTGGGTGTCTTCTTCAAGGTGATCTACAATTTGTATGACTGTACTGTGGTGCTACTAGTAAGTGAAATCCGACCTGAAAGTGCATATTTGGCGCCCTGGGCTTGCAAGCACTTCTGGACATACACGTGTGCATGACGTTGCACAAATACCGAGCATGGCTTGATGCCTTGTGACACACTGCCATCATCGTAAGGACCGTGATGTATAGTAGAGCTCTCCATATCCGGACAGGTTGGGACCGGGCACTGTCCATAACTCGGAACACACACGTACCGTAATGCCGCACCTTAAAGCCGGCCTTATTCCTGAGCCGATGTTAGTGCTAGCCTTCTATTCGAGTCAGGCTTCTATTCGAACCGGGTATTTCTAGGCATGTCAACACTAAAACCAGGCTCACATGCCACCAGTGCAGGAAAATCAGGCTTGTATTCCAAACAGGCTTCTACATGAGACAGGCTTTGATTCAGGACACTACGGTATACATGTACATAATTTATAGGTACTCTTTGCATGCAAGTAAACACTGCTTATGCCCATCAATGATTATGGGACCATTTTCGATGTAAAGCCGCTTTTTGTGACTCTAGACTAGAGTGGTCGGAAAGGTGCTTGGTAGATGAACATGCGCGGATTACAAGCGTTCGCATCAGGTGAATCACTGTACCAGTATTCGGAACTGGTCCAGGGTGCCAGCTTTGTACTTTGGGTTGGATTTCACCGAGCAGAACTGTGTTCTCCTGATCTGAACCCAACTTTCTGTGTAGTCCCGTTCAAGCATGTGTTGCCGACTGGGGGTATGCACCGGTGCACTTTCCCCGGGCTGTGCTGATGCAACCAGTTAGACCCTTGGAGAGTGACGTGACTGTACTCATCTCTTCTCTCCCTTTTATGGTCAGCTACCTGTTCTGCTCTTGGCGCTTATTTCCAATTTTATTGACCACATCAAATATACCGTAAAGTCGCGGATAAAAGACGGGCTTATAAGCACATAAGCCGCTTTCTGCATCAGGCTTCAATGCAAACCAGGCTTGTATGCAAACCATGCTTATATGCACCACTGATATTTTTGCCAGGCTTGTATGCACATCGGCCAATCCGGGCTTGCATAGAAGCCAGGCTTCTACGCGCGACACGCGTAGATCTACCACTGACTACCGGTATGGCGGCAGTTTTACTATGCACTGTACATAGCGCATGCACTCTTGACCTACCCGATCCGCGCTTGCATAGAAGCCAGGCTTCTACGCGTGACATGGTTATATGCATTGACTCGTTTGATTTTCTGGCTTCTATCCGCGATGTGCTTGTATGCAAACCCGGCTTTTATCCGCGACTTTACGGTACGTGCCATGTTTTACCGGTTATACAGGTCGACCCCCAATACTTGGGGCCTCGATTTATCAGTTCAATATCAATATGATCAATATTGGTTAAGTCCCGGTTGTAAGTGGGCTGCCTTTTTTTAAATTTGGATTTTAGGTAGGGGTGAAAGTTGGCATTGAGATCCCGAGTTCGAGTACTCTGATTTTCTCCGATCGAATATTCGAGTATTCGAGTATTCTTCATCTCCTAAAAATTGCACACCGATGGCCTTAAAATCACATGATACAACCCTGATTGAACCGAGTGGCAGTCATTTTTCTCTGGTATATTGGTTGTTGGGTCATTTGGGCTCTCTCTCTATCAATATCTGCCGACTGCTGCTCTGAAACTGCAGATTTCTGTGGTAAATGCATGTACCACGTATGAACGAGTACTCTGATTTATTCCGAGTACGACTATTTCTGAAAAAACCGAGCGAATACTCAAGTATTCGGTATAATTGTTTCACGCCTAATTTTAGGTCATAAAGCCTTAGGGACATCATTGACTACCTGAAGAAGGCCATTGGCCGAAACGTTGTATATAATGGAATGGTTCGGAAATTTGCAGAGTATTGTGGAATGGGTGAGTTCACCCAATTGCATCTACTATGAAACTGCAGGAAGCCTCTAAACTTCTTCTCAGGTCATAAAGGGTCGACTTATAACCGTAAAATATGGTGCATGCTCAATCTTCAGACAGCTACATGTAGCGGTTTCAACCTTGTAAAGTCTCATCAGCAGAGTTCAGAGTGTATGAATTTAAAGGAGAACGTGAACATAATATTATAATATCGTGACAATAATACCATTTTCTTGAATTACCCCTGGGTGCTTTCCCTTTGGCACATCTTGCTTGTTTTCCACAGGCGCTACAGTGGGTTTCTGGCGGAGGACGCAGCTCATGTCACTTCGGTCGACTTCATTCAGAAGTTTGTCGACAAGAACCGCGAAGTCAACGGCGAGAAGTACACCAACATTGACTTTGTCTGCGGCGACGTGATGAAGCTGGACTGGGAGGAGAACACGTACGACATCATCTTCTCAAACTGGCTTCTCATGTACCTCAACGACGCTGAAGTACTCGGCCTGGCGGAGAAGATGCTTCGGTATGTCTGTGCCTGCTTCTTTGTTTGTATTGGATTTGGATAACAAAGTGCCCCTTGCTGCTAACTTGCTAGACTGTATCCTGTTTGGACGACTGTAGTGATTGCTGTGGTGGCTTCCACGTACAGTCAAGCCTGTCAAGGCGACCACACGGATAAGGCGACCACCTGTCCCAGAAGACCACTGCCACCAGGACCAAGGGATGCTATTTCCAGTCAAATGACCCTGCATAAGGAGACCACCTGGCAATGGAGACCACATTTTTGAATGTCCCTTGAGTGGTCGTCTTAGACAGGTTTCACTGTACAACTGATGAGGTTTTCATAGTTTTGATTCAGGTGCGGGCATCACCTTCATGGTACACTGTGTTTTGTCATTATGTTCTTTCTTGCTCAGATGGACGAAACCCAGTGGACATATTTTCTTCAGGGAGTCATGCAACCGTCCTTCGGGTGATCGTAAGCGCAACACGGGCAACCCCACCAAGTACAGAGATGCCAAGGTACTAGCAATGGCGCGGCACATTTCTCTTCCTTCCCGCCAGTAGCATTCCTGTTGCTGCCGTAGCTATTGCTGCACTTCTTACTGTAATACAGTCCTGCTGGAGTTGGTGGGCTGGGATATTCTTTGTCGTGTGCATTGTGTTATGTGTCTTGATCGTCCAAGTGCATGGACTACACTAGAGTGGTTGCACCTCTATCACATGACCATACGGAGCAGTCATGTTGGTTTCAACTCCACTCAGCCCCTGCATTTATGGATCACATGATGTCGGCCATTACATGTTGGTTCCACAATCCACATGCCATGATCACTTTCTGCACAAATTTAGTCACATGATATGGATGCGAACCCACTCCATTGATAGTATGTAATACGTGTACATATTCTGCTCTGAACTTCATTCTCCTCTATAGCACTACCACCATGTGTTTGAGACCGTTCAGTACAAGCAGAACGACACGACGGCCTACTGCCTCGACTTGAACTTCTCGCGCTGCATACGCTCCTATCTACAGCTGAAGAATAACCCGCATCAGATGTGCTGGAGCTGGCAGAAGGTACGGTCTACGACGTCTGTCTTTGGACTTTTCAGGAAATCCTCCTGATGCTGATCACTGAGTTTGAATATTTAGCGTAATCTTCACCGCATGCAGTCGTGCGTTCCCTGCTCTGTTCATGCACAACTACAGTGAAACCTGTCTAATAGGCCATTCACACGACGGGCAAACTTACTTTTATCGTACCGTTTCCAAGGATATTTACTCGGATACGATAAACTTGGACACACGCCTGCAACTGATTTTTTTTATCTTGGCCGAGGCCCCTTTTGCTCGCGATTATCTTTGCACACCAGGAAAAGTGTCGGTTGTTGAAAGTGCGTACTGCAAATGCAGTGCTTGAACAAGGGAAAATTCAAAATTGAACATTTCCCGGCATTTTCAGGAGGTCACTATGGGTACATTGACGGTTGCAAAGTTTGCCCAGCATCGTGTGAACTGGATCACGGTTTGCCAGTGTTATCTTGGTCACACACGTGCAAGTGTTTACACGTCATGTGAATGGCCTATAAAGCGACCACTCAAGGGACGAGAAAAAGTGGTCGCCTTGGCCAGGTGGTCTTCTTACCATATTCACTTCACAATACATGTTATAATAATTATCATTTTGATCAGCGCATCACACTGCACACACCTATGCCACTCTAGCACGACTCATGTGCCTGGCGTCCTCAGACCTGTCAAATGTCGTGCATGCACCATGTACATCTACACTTCCTGCGCTGATGTGTAGATCTACCATGCATGGTGCACCATGCAATGCGTACATTCTTCATGTACTAGCAGGGTGCAACACGGTCGCGGGTGGGAGGTCGTCGGTCGCGTTGAGCGAGTGGTCGCCTTATCCGAGCTGTTTTGAATTTTAATGCGTCCGTGACAAGGAAAAGTGGTCGCCATGGTCGGGTGGTCGCCATATCCGAGTGGTGGCCATTACAGGTTTTACTGTATTAAAATACCATACTATCTGTGTATCCATGCTTGTGTTGTTAGGCCACAACGATCCCTGTTGCCGAGACTGCAGACTGCTTTGGCTACCAGTCGATGCGAGAGTTCCTTGACCAGCAGCAGTACTCCGAGAACGGCATCCTTCGCTATGAGAAGATGTTCGGCAAAAACTACGTCAGCACCGGTGGCCCAGAGACAACAGCGGTAAGTTCTGTTCTTCATTGAGAGCCACACACTCACATGAGACACAGCGATAAAGCTAGAGTGAGGACTAGAAAAAAACAGCCTTACATTGGGGAGATCAGACACAAGACCAATCACTCCGTCTTTGTAGGGTGTACTCACACCCTCCTTGCTGAGCTGCTTATTGTTTCTTCTTTTTATTCAATCCAGGAGTTTGTCCCCATGCTGAAGCTGCAGAAGGACGAGAAGGTACTGGATGTCGGATCAGGTCTGGGTGGCGGTGCGCTGTACATGGCAGAGAACCATGGCGTGGATGTGCTGGGTCTGGATCTCTCTACCAACATGGTGCACATTGCTCTGGCACGGGCGGTCAGCTGCTCAGCAGGATCGGTAGGTGACTGTTCCAGCTTACTAGTTCTCAACAGTGTTCTATCCAACACCCAGGTGCAGGCCAAGGAGGTTACCGTTGACATAGCAGCATATTGGTTTTCATGCAACCTTGGAGGAAAATCAATACTGATCCATGATGTAAAATTAACGATTGATACATGTAGTGCAGTCTCTTCAATGCTGACTCCACCGGGTTTATCATTTTGTCTCCACCCAGGTGCTGTACGAAGTGTCAGATTGCACCAAGCGTCAGTTCCCCGATGAGTCGTTCGATGTCATCTACAGTCGTGACACCCTTCTTCACATACCCAACAAAGGAGAGATCTTCAAGACATTCTTCGTAAGTCCCAAACTAAATAGTGCCACCACTGCTAGCAGTAAGCATGATCAATGTTTTATTGGCGCGAGTACTTCTGCCAGAAAGCAAGCCAGGTGCGTTGTAGCTGAACCCTGCATTATTTTGTTGTCACATAACATTTCCTCAGGCTTTGGTCAGTGACTTGCTGTTGCAATCTTCCGTAGTCACAGTGGATTGTTCTAGGTGGTAGCAGCTGCCCTGGGTCCCTTCAGCGACCGTAACAGGAAACAATTGCTCCACCTTACTTGGTCGCAGTGGCTCTTCAGCTTCAGTATTTCTGTTACTGATTGCTGCCCCGTCTCCTGTGTGTTGTTCAGCGCTGGCTGAAACCCGGTGGTCGTATCCTGATCTCTGACTACTGCTGCGGCGAGGGAGAGTGGAGCGATAGCTTCAAGACGTACGTAGCCCAGAGGCACTACACACTGCACAGTGTCAAGCACTATGGACAGGTAAGAACTGCATGTATTGGGATCTTGCATGGCTGCTCTCGCGCATGATCTGTTTTTCTGCTGCAAGTCTCATTTTCCAGTCATATTGTTATTAGAAAATTGACAAAGTGCACTGTGGAAATGGTCACAGCAGAGACTTGGCGTGTTACTTGTCAGTTGACCACCGCATGTTTATTTACATCTACAATTGTGCAGCTCTTGCTTGATGCTGGATTTGTGGACGTTCTGGCGGACGACCGTAGTCGCCAGTTCTGCGATGTTTTACTTCGTGAAATCAAGAAAGCATCAGATGAGAGGTCAGAACTGTTCAAGGTAAGAACAATCTGGGATATGCTGCACCACTGACACGCATAAAGGTTCATGTGCCTATATCCCGGTGTAAGCGCATGGGCTTGTAGGTGAGCCCAATCTCGCAGCACACTGATGACACCAGGATACCATCTTTACAGGATTTAATGTGCAACTTCCACATTCCATACCACCTATTTATCGTGTTTTAGTATTTTTACCTAGTATAGGTGGAATCCTGATAATTCGAACCCTAGAATGCCATGGAAAAACGTCTCATCATCTGCACATTATGATTGTCCAAACATGTACCTATGCGTTAATGGTGAACACAGGGAGTGGCCGCCACTGTTCATAACTTTCCACCAGCGGTGAGTTGGCGGCGCACGTCCTGAGCACTGTCACCTGCAGCTTGTGCAGGTCTAGCGGGTTGCACTCGCGTATCGTCATAGACTTCTTGGACGGTGTCTTCGGTTGCTTTGGCGTCGTCAGTGCGAGGTTCGCTTAGTTCAAATGGATGTTGTAGTATTCTTTATTTCTCCAGTCCAAAACAACAAGAGTCCAGACTCAACTCATGCACAGCAACTAGAAGCCGCGAAGTCCGTTTCACGCGCGCGGGAAACGGCACATGCTAGATGCATAACGTAACACGATGTACTACTATCATGAATGTCTGGAGTGGCCAAGGAATGCCACAGCGCGTATGTAGACGTGAACACTACATCTCTCCCGAGCACGGATGAAAAAACGTAGGGTGTAAACTGAAAACACGAGGCATGGATAAATGACTTCATGTCGGGCTGTCTGTCTCCCTATGCTCACGGAAATCCTGCGTGAGGTGCACTTTGCCCTTGCGCTTCGGCATGACCACCATTCGGGCAACCAATGGGGTGGGGCCAGTGGCAGGCTCGATGACGTCCAATGCGAGCTGCTAATTGAGCTCAGCGAGCGCATCCTCCTGGAGGTGGACAGCCACTTTGGATGGTGCGTGTTGCCATCTACATAGATGCGGGCTTCTACGTCCTTGATACGGCCGAGGCCCTGGAAGCCATCGTGGTACTCAGCATGGCCGTCTGGCAGTTATGGACTTTCGACGCTGTGTACCAGCTGGATGAGGCCAAAACGCATGGTGGTCTCGCGGCCAACAATAGATAGCAGCGGTACGTGGCGCGTGTGCGATAACGAGGAATGTTGCCGTCGAGCTCATGGTAGCGGAGGAAACACAGAGGGTAATGTTACCAAGAAAAGGAAGAGGTGAAGTTGAGCCGTAAGCAAAGATTTGCACATCCGTTTGCTGAAGTGCTGAACCAGGTGCAACCTTTGCCAGGTCATCAGTATTGATGATATTGTGACTGGCACCACTTTCCACCAAGACAGTCAGATGTATGCCGTTGACATGCACTGTGCGCCGGGCATCCTCACGGCAGGGTGCCGTAGATGGGTGAGGCCGAGAGTCGGTAGAAAACCAGCTCTGCGTCAGTCTCTAAGGAATGAATGGCATGGTGACCGCTGTTGACAGCGTGCTGGTCAGAGTGTTGGTGGGGGCGGCGTTCCCTGAACATGCGGGCCCGGATGGCGGAGTCCGAGGCGCAGCATGCCACAGCGAAATTGTTTGGCTTGCCACAGCGGCTACAGAACTGGCCCTTGGCAGCGTCACATGTGGCTTTGCCTGGCTTTCCACACCGGTAGCAGGTCAGACTAGATGAGGTAGACGGTGGACACTGGGCTTGGGCCTGGCGTGCAGCTGGGTAGCCGTGGCGCTGTGACCCTGAGAAGGCAGCCACATGGGCAGGCTGGGGTGTTGCTGATGCCAGGGAAGCGACGTGGGCGTCCTGCTGTGAAGAGCCCAGAGAGGCGTCCTTGATGGCCAGTACATGGGTGATGCTGGCCTCATACGCGCACGCGCGCGTGCGCTGCTTTGAGAGCTTTGTCAGAGCTGGTCCAAGACAGCCAATTTTTCCACCGCAGTATCCGGGAAACCGCTGCGTTTCACGTGGTCGCCCAAACGACAACAGATAACCTCCATAGTCTCGTTCGACTGTTGACGAAGCTGACGGAAATTGTACCTGAGGAGCGTTTTGTTTTGGTGTTTATCGAACTCGTCCTGCAACACTTTGGTGAGGTCGTCGAATGTTGTCCCTATGTTGCTGGGAGTGGGCATGAGTTGCTGGATGTCGTCCCCTCCCAGGTACTGGAGTAGCCCACACTGTTGGTCGTCATCGCCGATTTTGGAAGCAGCGAGAAAAGCTTGAAACTCCGTATCTAGGCGGGCCACCGCGTGGCGGCATCGTAGAGGGAGACATAAATTGGAAAAGGTCCAGGGGGCGGAATGGCGGGTGGTCAGTCACCCATGCTCGCCACGGAGGAACGAAATAGCTCGCAGCGCCAATGTAGTATTCTTTATTTCTCCAGTCCAAAACAACAAGAGTCCAGACTCAACTTATGCATAGCAACTAAAAGCTGCGCAGTTCGTTTCACACGCGCGCACAAACGGCACATGCTGCATGCATAACATAACACGATGTACTACTATAATGAATATCGGGAGTGGCCAAGGAATGCCACAGCACGTATGTAGACGTGAACACTACAGATGGAGACGCTGGAGAGGATGGCAAAGACGCGAGGCACGTCCCTTGGCAGAGGAACCTTTCACTATTGCGCCTCGCACATTGCCATCCTTGCTCACGAGGAGCTCTTCAATGAGCCCAAGCTGCCATAGACCTCGTTCACACTGCCTTCTTGCACAACCACTACAGCTCCAATGCCAGTGGATGACGCGCCCTCGCGATGATGATTTGCTGTCCGATGGTCGTTTCATAAATCAAGCAGATACTCCTGTTTCCATCGACGCCAGAAGTGATCCATGACTAAGTATAGATGGTGGACCTCGCTATAGCAGACCGCTGTGACGAACGGTGATACTGTTAGTGTCGCTTTTGTCAACGGCAGAGTGCGACAGGATGCGGCGACCGTAAATCAAGTGTGATGGCGTCATCGGTGACTCTGGAGTGTAGTTTTCGGAAATGTCCTTACATTGGTGGTGGCGGCATGTGTAAGATTGGAGAAGGCAATGCGGTGGTGGTGGTGGTGGTGGTGTTGCTGGTAGTGGTGGTGGTGGTGGTGGTGGTGGTGAAGAAGAATAAATTTCAGTACTCTCCTTCTCTTATTCTGGCTGGTCCTTCATGAGTGCACTCTTGGCTGGTGTCTGTTGTTTTGCAGGAGTTTTCTGAGAATGACTACGAAGACCTCGTCACTGGCTGGAAGGCTAAGGTCGAGAGAGTCAATGCTGGCGATCAATGCTGGGGCCTCTTCTTTGGACAAAAATCAGCCTAAACACTACAGGCCCCAGCTGTGCCGCCAAATTTACAGGCAAGCTATTCTATTGTTAATTTGTTACAAATATCACAATTGTAGGCTTTTGAGCTAGTTTCTATTAATTCCAGTACGACTATTTTTTAGTTTCTCCCTGGCTGCGTTGCGGCCCAGTGTGGTACTAGTAGTCAACATGATTGCTTACCAGCGTTCAGCCTTCTCCCCTCTCTGCCCTCCCTCTCCACCCCCACCTGTAAATCTTCGGTACTTTGCTTTCTGGCTGTATACACTCGGGATTCTGTTCCTTTACCCTTGTCCGTCGCGAGGGAGGCCTATATTCAGGATCGTGCGCGTTGCGTATCAATGTATACAACATGCAGCACGCATACTGTACGGCTGTTTCACTCACCTGTAACACTGCCTGGTGTAGTTGTCACTGACCACACAGTCCAGGAGATTTGGCGCACACAGGGCCACTAACACCCACCCACCCACAAGCAGACATATGCACACAACCACGCATTCGCCGACAACTTTGGAATTAGGTAGGAAATTGACTGTTAGATTGCAGTACTTCTCATTTCATAGTTCAAAAACTTTTTTGTGCGTGCTTTCCGAGTCGCCACCCCAATTTATCCTATGATTATTTTCCCAGTCAATGTCCAGGAAGAGATTCATAGATATTTATTTTCTGTCCCATGAAAACAGTTGTAATTTATTCTCCAAATTTTTAATGTCCCGAAAATAGTTATAATTATTATTTTCATCCTGACAGATAGCCATTTGGCTGATGAATCTACAATTTGAATAACTCTACCTATGTTCTGTCCACTGACACTGTCTGTTCGGCCTTTGCCGTAGTATGGCTCCGCTGATTCGAATGGTCCGAGGCCATGGTCCTGTATTCGTCGGATATTGCAAACAAACTGCTCGTCGAGTTGCGGCCAGCTTGAAGGTGAGGGGTGGCCGGGAGGGAATGTTTGCGCATAGTTGTACATGTACATTTCAACTTGGTTTATTCAAATGTACATGTACATTTCAGGGCCGGCGGAACCGGTCAGGCTGGTCCGGCCATGGCCGGACCACTTTCCCAGCTGGATGGTCCATGTGATTAGTGCGAAACCGGTGTAAAAAAATCCAGAGGTACATGACTCGACTGTACTGCCGATGTGTGATGTACTTCGAAGTAGCTCAGGACTCCGTGACCGGCACTGTATGGCTTTAATGATATGGATAAAAAAAAGTTGTGTTTGTGTTCTTTTACTATAATTTTCTGCATTTTCTGGAGCCTGAAGAGATGCCCAAATTTGCTCTATTTCACGTAAATTTTAAATATTTCTCCCGGGGGAGGTCGAACCATGCATTGTACAGTGATGCTTTCGGATTTGAAAGGGGGCTGACAAAGTGTGGAAGAGAGCACAGTGCCACACTGCACGTCACGCTGGCCACAACCCTAGCTCGTACGTTATCGTCAATCAGTTGTGCTGCATCCAGGTGATAGTAGTATGCTACTGAGTGGAACCATAGCACCACACATGCCTGTGGGAGTGGACACGATCTGACAAATAGTGGACCGCAGCCTCTTCGAACCATCCAAGACCATTCAACTCCGTGCTCCTAATAATATAACTCGATATATCCTGTATTGCAGCCCTCAAAGACTATGCCTGCTATCAAGAGTACATGAAAACCAGAATGTGCAGCTCGGATGGGTTGCTGTCACGGCGGAATTCTGTGATTACATCATTTTAGTGATGTGCGTACAAGCAGGATTCAAGCAGGTCTCTTTCTGCACAACTGCAGCTCAGTTGTACGCACTACGCCATTTCCCGCCTCATCTGCGCCAAATATGATGTAATCATGGAATTCCACCGTGACAGACACCCATAGTAGAGAAGGCCCCAAGCCAAGAAGCTGCACACTCTGGTTTTCATGTACTCTTGCTGCTATCAACCCAACATCACTACAGTATTCCAATATGCTGTCTTCAGTACGGATAGTATACTGTAAAAGCCATTATTCTAACGAGGCGCATATAATAACGATTTCCCAAAATTGACTGGTTTACGTGTAACAAAGATTACGATTTTCACTCATTCTCATCGCTCAATAGGACAGTATAATTATGTTTCGATTTCTGTATAACAATTTCTATTTTAACGACAGATTTCTCCTCGTTAACTCGTTAGCGTTAGTACTTCGTATATAATGGCTTTTACAGTACTAGTATTAATTGATGATCAAGAGAGCCAACATTCTACCGGTACGACTCATACTCTTTTCTTGTGTATGGTGGCCAGCGGAACTCGTACTCAAACCGCTGGTTTGGGTACGAGTCTCTCATGGTGGCCCTGCTATGCGCTAGTGTATCGACTCCTCCATACTACCATAGGTTGTCTGAAAGTGTATTTTACTATAACCGTAGTACTTTTGCTCAGGTCATCATTGGAACAGTACAGCTGCTGTCAGCACCATACCACCAGTACCACATCTCCTACGGTAGGCTTTTGGCTTTACTCCCATCTCATCACCTCAAATCCAATCATTGAATGTACAATACTACTAGCACAGTAGCAGTACGCTGTGCCAAGTATGTACAGTAAATAATTGACTTGCATGGGTCCTCATGGTTTGTAGAACTTGTGCTACAGTGCTGCTCAATGAAATCCGATCAAGTGCGTCAAGTTATAATTATAAGTAGTTTGCGCAATTGCGCGTGCATCATTTCACAGCCCAGCAGTACACTGTATTCACAATAGAGGGGGGGGGGGGGGGGGATTGGGCAGCTCAGCACCCGGCGGGTACTAATTCGCTTGATCTTTGCACCGTGCTAGTCTTCTTATCCAGGCTGTCATTTGACTGGAAATAGCAGAGTAAATACTAAATAGTTGCAGTGGCAAGGAGACCCCTGTCATCATGGTGATCATGGTGATGGGTAACACGTTTTGAAGGTCCCCTGGCCTTGGCTTGAGCGGTTGTTGGACAGGTCACATGTATAATATTATGACTACAACTAACTGATTACTTGTAGCAAGAGTACGTAACCCCCTGGGGTTATGTGCCGGGGGTTATCAATAGTACTGTACTCTTGCTTGTATGCATAGCAACTGTTAGTGTGTATCTAATATTGACTGAGTACGAGGTCAATATAGGAAATAAAAGCCGAGTAAAAGACCGAGGCGAAGCCGAGGTCTTTTACGAGGTTTTTATATCCTATACTGACCAAGTACGTAGTCAATATTATATTTATCACGACAAACAGTCCGTATTTCAAATTCCAGAACGATAACCTCATGAATCCCGGTTTTATGATTGCACAACCTTTGCACCTTTGTAGCAAGAGTACGTAACCCCCTGGGGTTATGTGCCGGGGGTTATCAATAGTACTGTACTCTTGCTTGTATGCATAGCAACTGTTAGTGTGTATCTAATATTGACTGAGTACGAGGTCAATATAGGAAATAAAAGCCGAGTAAAAGACCGAGGCGAAGCCGAGGTCTTTTACGAGGTTTTTATATCCTATACTGACCAAGTACGTAGTCAATATTATATTTATCACGACAAACAGTCCGTATTTCAAATTCCAGAACGATAACCTCATGAATCCCGGTTTTATGATTGCACAACCTTTGCACCAACACCTACTAGTACTATGCAGTGACCATGCTGCACTAGGCACCGTTCAACTGCGCAACCCAGCAGTCAAATATAAGCAGTCACTATCCCTAAATTTCAACTACATGTGTATAAAGGAGTGAAATATGCATGAATATTTGACTGCTTACAGTGCTTAGGTATAGCAAAAATCTATAGGAGTCAATATTATACGAAGGGAGTGATAAAGTATTCTTTGAAGTAGTACTATTACTAGTAGTACTAGTAGTGTCATGATTGTACATGTACCTGATAAAGTCGGCAGAGTAGATCCACACGTGGACCAGTGTGGACGGATATTGGGATGACAGTTGACACCACCCTGCCACAATAATGACTGTATGATTGTACATGTACGTCATGATGTATGGCGTTGCATGCTTGGGGTTTCCCTTCCGCCGGCCTGGCGCTGTCAAGTGTCATGACTAAATTAAAAGTTAGTTAGTAAAGAGTAAAGTCAAGTCAGTGCCTTCCAGTTCAGGAGCTGATCTGCAGAAAGTCGCCCTTTTTTCTTGAGCTCATGCACCTAGTTGGGTTACATCGTCTGTGTCTGTGAGAATGATGTTGATTGGTGCTGTTTGAGTAAGTAAATGTTCTAACTGATCAACCACCTACAGTTCAGTTTGCTAGATGCACTACAAGTAAGTATTAGTTGCTGGTAGATCTACCTGTCTCTACAATCATCAGAGTCATAATAACGGCAGAAGATACTACGATTTGGTTCTGGTCTTCTAAAAAAATCACCTCTTTTTTACTTCTGCCTGAGACTGAGTTCTGGACTCGCAGCTATGCGCTAGCTGTCAACGGATCCTGAGTTTCCGCAATACAGCCTGGGATATGGTGGTGTCAATTGTTTGTATCTCGGAGTTCATGATAGAGCTGGATAGATAGCGTGCGGTACGGTGCTGTGTTTCAACCAGTCAGTTTCCGCTATGTCGGACGGAAAGTTCAAGTTGGCTTTGCGAAAAGTTGGTGCATTCGCGTTCAAACATCATCTGCCCTTGGGACTGTTGTTCGCAGTATTACTCGGTGCCCTATGGCCAACACCTGGTGTAGCGGTGAGCAAAATCCCAGCCAACTATATTTGCGTTATTCTCATCTTCCTTCTCACTGGACTGAAGCTGAAAACTGATGACGTCAAGGAGGCCTTGAAATCATGGAAAGGCATGGTGTATGGCGTCTTCAGTGTCCTGTTTCTGACGTCAGTGGTGTCACTGGAGCTGATAAAATTGATGAGCAGCCAATTCGGCCGTCTGGACACCGCAACGTTGGGTGCCAATGACACGTCGAATTCTAGCGACGTGCCAGCCAGCTGCATGGCCAATGCCAGTGAGGAGACGCCACCGTTGGGTCCTCGAGAGTTCAGCATTGGCTTGCAAGTGTTCTTTGCCATGCCGTGTACTGTATCATCAGGTGTCATTCTGGTAAGCATGCAGCAATCTGGACTTAGCAATAACGTTAAACAGTTCGGTAGCAAGACGGTGGACACACTCTCAGTGCTGCCAACCTTCCGCAAAATGGTACGGACAATTGAAGAGCAAATGTATGTGCTATGTAGAAGCATGGCAAGCGCAAGCTGAGCTATGAATATTCTTGCACCAAAGCGACTGCATGCCATGCCATGCCATGCCAGGACACCATGCAGCACTAACACTCATGCCGTGAGTACAAGTCACGCATGCAGTAGCACACTGATCCAGCCACCGACGTGCATGTGAGTGTCCAAAAACCGCTATACAAGTATGCATGCAATGCTTGTACACGCTAGTACATGGGTAGTACGCAACAAAAAGACCACTGCAAAACACGGAAAACCAGTAGTCTGAGTCACATGCGAAACAGACCCGCTTGGTTGGCAGCTCTGCACTGCGAATGATGAGTGTACCGGACTGCAGCTGTATGGTATTCATATGTGGCTAGATTGGCAGGGCTCGTCAGAGTCAGGTGTTAGCATTATTCTTTGCACCGTGCACCATCCCTCTGACCACGCCATATTAGCATAGGACACCACTCTCATTCCAGCCGGTGCGGCAAGCAATATTCTTTAAGTCTCGTGTAGTGGATGCGCTACATTAGACTCGTACGCCCAAGAACGCGGTTTCAGAGGGCCAGCCTAGCAAAGTTCTTATTCTTCAGCGCCCCAGGCTACGTTCTTATTTCGCGTTCTTAAGCGCTACGTGTACCGGTTGTACACTTTACATGCACGTGTAGTATGTAGCGCTGCACTGGGTGATGTTTTCGCGAGGACCCGACAAGAGTTTGTGGTTGCGGACTTGTTTTTCGTGTAAAAATGTCGCGTTCTTAAAAATCTTGGAGTTTGTTCTTAAATCCAGGCTGGGGCGTTCTTAGATTTCCAGCCTGGACGTTCTTGGGCGTACGAGTCTACTGTAGAAATCTACGCACTACTGTAAGTGTAAAAAAAAAGAGAAGAAACACATGAGAACGAGGTAATGCAGCAACTATCCACGACTGTAACAAGATGATAAACGGTCAGAAAGTGCGATAATAGGGCACAAAAACTGACAGGCTACTGAGACATTCAGCGACCCGAGACCTAGCTCTAACACATCTCCAGTGCGCAAACCAACAGCCCTTTTTTGTGCCCTATTATCGCACTTTCTGATCGTTTATCATCTTGTTACAGTCGTGGATAGGTGCTGCATTACCTCGTTCTCATGTGTTTCTTCTCTTTTTTTTACATTTATTACTGGCTCAGTATCCAAGTTTAAATTTTGCACTACTGTAAGTCAACAAATTTTCGGCGCGTATTTATTTTTGGCTGTTTTCGGCCTGATCATGCCTGATCATGTTTGGCCGAAAATTTGTTGCAGCTGAAACTTTGCTTTGCAAGGTTCAGTGTGACAGTATATGCAGGCAGCAGCAGTAGAGGCCGAAAATTTGTTGCAGCTGACATGTGTTTTAGCCCTGGGAGGCCGAAATTTGAATGGGCCAAAAATTTGTCGACATACAGGATCGGGTTACACCTTTGTCCATCAATTAATTTAAATTGAACTCGGATGGTGAGCCAATGTAATAAAAAAAATATAAAAAATTTCACGGTTCGCGTGAGACTCGGCTGGAAGCCGAGTTTTCCGCATCCGCCGTGGGAACGCCACCACCCTCTAGGATCAAAGGCGCAGATGCAGCGCCTAAACGGTGGGAGGTGAGTAGATCAGACCCACCACCAAGTGGTCAAAGACCGAAATCCCATTAGCTGCATCCATGTTACCCTCGTGCCAGGCCACGAGTTCCCAATTAACTGTGGGTCACAGCACGGCTGGAAAAATGCCTTTCGAGGCAGGTATAGTGGGATGGTCTAAAACCATGATTGAGAAACAGAGGGTACCAGGTTCAAGTCCTGCTTGGAGCCAATGTAATCATGGATAGAAATGAAGGACAACATGTTACAGGTTATGACGAACTGTCCACCTAAGTTTTGTGCCGTGTTGTCACACTCGCTTACTGTACATGATCTGGTTACTTTGGTGGACAGTTAGTCATACTGTAGAACGGCTAATTTTAACGTGTAAACATTTTAGCATTTTCTGAATCTGGACTGATTTGCGATGAAATACTTTAGCGATCCAAGTTTCAAAGTAAAAAAACCGAAGACGAATAGTACTGTACTGTACATGCAAACTTTCGATTGGCGCAGTGAAACTTTAGCGAAAACACTCCTTTCGCTAAAAAATCACCGGCGCTAAAATTAGCCGTTTTACAGTAACGCGCAACATTTTCAACAATTTTTTTGTCGTTCATTTTACCGAATTATTTTTTAGTACCTGTTATTTGACAACATCTGTATATTGCACTGCCCGTTTCTCTACACCACTACTACAGGTCACCCAGTTGAATGGTAACCATGTACTTGCTCTGTTGCTGACCGTCGTTTCCAACTTGGTCGGTATTGGAACGGTGCCCGGACTACTGAACTGGCTGGCTGAGTTTGATGCCAACGTGAAGCTGGATGCCGCCAAGCTGCTGCTCAAACTTGTGCTGACACTGCTCATACCACTGTTGGTAAGTGAAGGTTTGCTAATACTTGTACGGTTTCAGTATACTGTGCACTGCACTGTGTCTATGTGGAAAAATGATGACTGAAAGAGTCCGCAATCTGTTGTATTGTGTGAACCGAGAGGTCTTTGGTTTGAGACTCTACCAAACCCTCCTGAAGAAGTTCACGAGATCAATGTGTGCATCTTCCACACTGCTACGCCAGCTGATGTTGAAAAAAATTTCCAATGCTATTGCCAACGTCCTTGAGTTAAGAAGCCATCCAGCACTATCAATAGTTTTCACATAACGAAAACGTTTAGTTATGACCATCCCCCACCCACCCAAAAGCTCAACATCACCATGTCACATCTTTGTGTGTGTTTGAAATTTTACTTATGTCCTTGCTGTTCTCAGGTGGGAAAAGCCTTACGCCTCGTTCCTAAGGTGGTGGACCTCGTCGACAAGTACCGGTCACCCATGAGAGTAGCTGGGAGCATCTTCCTTATCATGTTACCTTGGATGAAGATCAGCGTCACCAGTAACAAAGGTTCGTTCAGCTGTGTCGAACCCATATCATTCGTCACCTTATTTGCCATTTCTCTTACGCTTCACTTTGTGCTTCTTACTATCAATTCTCTTGCGTCGCTCATCCTCCGCCTGGAAGCGCCGGTCAGGAAGGCTGTAGTCATCTTGTGCAGTCAGAAGACACTGGCTGTCGCCCTGTCAGTGCTGAGCTTCTTTCCAGCAAGTCTTGGCGATCAGGGACTCATGGCCATTCCATGCATCATAGCGCATCTGGTGCAGATCGTGAACGATGCCATTCTAGTATCGGTCTGGGTGGCGTATGATCGTCGGCAGGAGCTCAAGCGGACTAACGCGGAGGCAACAGATGCGCAGCCAATGAACTCACGCCAGGACACTATTGTTAAGGAGGGGGATCATGGCCAAGCGGCCGTGTCGTATCGTACTGTGATCTCCGTGTGGAGTGTATAACCGGAGTATGCACTTGAAGCATGTGGTGCGACCTGCTCATGGTTCTCAACATGATTAAGTTATCTTTTCTCTTCGGTTGACGAAATATTGGGCATTGGCATTAGCTATTTAATTATGATTGTCAGTTGCTGATACATGTTCATATCGTGGATACCCGCGGGTGCAGTATTCATGACACTGCATGTCAGCTGTTCACTGAGACAGATTTCCCCATTGTACCTTGTCAGCCAGAGCCTGCGGGTGATTGGCGGTGTCCTTCCTGGTTCGAGACAGTGGCATTGCATGTTGCCCCTGTGTGCTTTGCGCTGCTTTCCCTTGAAAGTAAGTTATTTGTATATAAAGGAGCAACGGGGTTATGTTTTCTAGTACAGTGCTAGAAGTATAATACAGTGCTACTCAATGAACTCCGATCGCGTGAGTCAAGTGCGCCTGATGCTGTGGATCCCTAGACCTGCGGACACCGGGGTGTTCACTGGTGCACGGTGCACTTGACTCACTCAATCAGATTTCAATGAGCAGCACTATATATTGCAGCTATACCATGATTAGATCCCAGAGTAAAACTCCAACAGAGCTCACGGCCATAGAAGCACGGCTGGGACAAAATTACAAATGTACAAAAGTTACACAGCACGTATGCTCGTGATTGGCTGCCCCCCCCCCCCCCCCCCCCCGTGACAATACATGTACTTATACGACGTGTGCTCTAGATTATGGACGGGTACGAGTTTTTCTACACAAAACAAGTACAGTCAACTTGTGATAATAAGCACCCGTGAGTGAGTGTGCGCGAGCTCTTTATAGCCGAAGTTTTTTTGTAACAGAATTGCGCTCACACCGTGCACGCAACACGCCATGACTGGCATGTGGCCCATGGCTGCATGCCATGAGTACATGAAGAATGCTAGGTTTACATGCAGCCCTACAAGATATGGTTCGCAATTAACGTTCGTTACTAAGGGTCACTGATTCTGTATGGGTTCGAACAGAGACATTGTTCTGATTTCGTGATAAAACGAGTTTGTTATAATATAAGTGGAGTCGACTGATCAGTACAATCTGTCATGCGGCCTGACCTCATTTCACAACTGACTACAGTAGTACAGTGTAGATATCTACACTACAGACTCAGTACTTAAAGTCGACAGTAACCATGGTAACCGAGTACTAGTATCACTGATCGTAGCCCCCTGTTGTTGGTTTGACAGCATGAAACAAGGACGGAGACACCGTGTTCGCAAACAGTGACCTTACTACAACCATCCAAGGGGCTCTACCAACCGTGGATGGTTGTAGTAAGGTCACTGTTTGCGAACACAGTGTCCTCCACCTTGTTTCATGCTGTCAATCTAACAATATGATTGTGTAGTACTAGTCTGCACTCGTGCTCTGCAGTACATCATGGTTCATACTCATAGTGTAGTCATGGTATTGTCAGACCTCGCTTATCCGGTCCTCTTTTATCCGGATCCCTCGCCATCCGGAAGAAAATCGTTGGTTACCGATTTACAGCATATGCCATGCATACATACAGTATGTGTGTTTGATTATCCGGTTCCCTCGCCTATAGGCCTCGACCAAAATATTCTTGCGCATATTTCCGCATATTTTGTGAGACAGTTGATATATGGCATATTGAGCGACAAAGGGAATATTGGAATGAAGGCAGCATATAATTCAAATATTCTGAAGAAAATGAGGACAAAACATTCATATTATGGACAAAATGCGTTCACGGAAATGCCTTTTATGGATGAATTTGGAATGGTTGAGGCGTTTGCTACATTTCCCCATGGATCAACACAATCGCTACGGTTGCTGGGGACACATCCCAGCCATACTATTCCGCATGTGTTTTTAATTTGCACCATAAGCATGATAGCCGTGAAGCCAATGAATATTCCAAGGTTGTAATTTTACTGAAATGATCTACACTTTCTGCTTATGTCGAGCATATTTTGGCATATTTTGGCATATCATTTTGCATATCTTGCTAAGCCTTTGGCATATTATGGATGTTTTCCCTGATATGCGACGAGCATAATATGCTCTCTTTTTTTAGCATATTTGGTCGAGGCCTACTCGCCTATCCGGATATTTTTTGTCTAAAACGGATATGTGCGGTTATGCGAGGTCGGAATGTAGTACATTTCTGTATGTAAAAAAAAGAGAGTACACTGAGTTACATTGTAGTTACTACTACACATGTTACAGTCTATCCACAAAAAGAATGCAGTGCGACTTTTTCATGCATAATACATGTAGATGTACATACTCAATCGACTCTTCGTTAAAATAATGACATATTACTGTAAAACATGCAATTTTCGGTGTAACTTTAATTTCGGTGATTTCGGTAGAGAAACCAGGCACCTAATTTTAATTACATGTCTGTCCCTGCGGGAATTTGCGGAAAAAACTCTCGAAAACTTGCGCAAGAAATTGCGGCAGAAAGTTACAAAAAATGCGACGAAAAGTGCGGAATGATGCAGAACTTGCCAGGAATTCGCGGAATTATTTGCAGAAAATTGCGGATTTGGGCCAACTCACGAAATGTGTTGCGACTTTTTCATGCATAATACATGTAGATGTACATACTCAATCGACTCTTCGTTAGAATAATGACATATTACTGTAAAACATGCAATTTTCGGTGTAACTTTAATTTCGGTGATTTCGGTAGAGAAACCAGGCACCTAATTTTAAATTACATGTCTGTCCCTGCGGGAATTTGCGGAAAAAACTCTCGAAAACTTGCGCAAGAAATTGCGGCAGAAAGTTACAAAAAATGCGACGAAAAGTGCGGAATGATGCAGAACTTGCCAGGAATTCGCGGAATTATTTGCAGAAAATTGCGGATTTGGGCCAACTCACGAAATGTGTTGCATCGTATATCTACTCCGGAGTCGTACTGTGCAAATAACCTACAGGATCACGGAAAGAACTGCGTGAAAAGTGCATAAAAAAGTGAGATATAGTGCAGAAAACAACAAAAAACGCGGGAAATAGCAGATTTTGCTGAACATCGCGGGTTTGGGCCAAAATCGCGAAATTTGTTGCATCCGTGGAATCGCGATTTCCTGGAGGGTCAGACATGTACACCTAAAAGGCACTAGAGTATGCACTGTATGGGAAGGGAGCGCTGGTCACCTAATTCTACATTACACCTGAAACCTGGCAGGTCCCTGGCACCGAAATTTTAATGCACCTAAAATTACATGTTTCTGGCTTTGGAAATTTTATTTTCATTGCTATCAGGTTCGGCCTCATTTTCTCTGTGCTGCGCTGATGAGTTCATAAAGAACGAAACAGCATGCTGTCCGCAGATTGATTGTTTTACAGTATCAAAAAAGATGAGCAATTTTGATGAAGATAGAGGTTAGTGGTGACAGTCAATTTTTTCTTCAGACTTTTCCCGTTTATGTCTTTCCCTCAAACTAGTCAAGATAGTTTTTTTCTTCCACCTCCACTCACTGTCGACATGTCATCGATCGAAAGCAGAGGATGTATAATCATTTTCATCATCAAGATGCAATAAAAGCCTCCTGAAGACGGATTCGTGGCTGCAACGCATCAACTGATCACAAAGACGTTCGCATTGGCGGGCCACCTCTTCCGTCTTCGCCTTCACTTCGGTCTTCGAGCATAATCTTGAAGTTAGTTAGTTAGTTGAACTGTCCGTAGCTAGCTGTGCATAACCATGATAACGACCCCTGACCGACATGTATTTTAGCTCATGCATGATCATGAATGATGGCCATGCAGCGCACGTGGTTATCATGCCAATAAAAATGACAGCTCTTGCTAGCTCATTTTTATGATCATGCCACCATGTGCCACGTGGCGCCGTCTCAGCTCACTGATCGACATGATTGTGTCGACAGCCAAGGCGATCGACGAATGAACAGAAAATATTCTCCTAGAATCCTCCACCATTTGGACACTTTCAGTCCAAAACAGACCGTCTTTCCAGTTGTGTTGGAAAACTGCGGCGATGAGCCAGCGAGGTCGTGTTCACAACCGTAGGAGTCGTTCGTTTTCTCGAAGTAGGTTGGCAATCCAGGCAAGGTAGTATTCAGCAAGCCCTTTTGTCATTTTCATTTCACTATAATAGCGAGCAGTTTCGTTCCAGCAATTTTTACTATTCTCGGCTGCGGAAATCTGCGGGTTATTACTTGAGAAAACATGGCTGAATCTGTGAGCAATGGCTCAGGGACTCATGGCTCGAACGGCAATGGTGATGACAGCAGCACACGAGCTGCGATGAAGGATTTCTGGGACGGTCATTGCACGACGGCATCGCTGCAAGATGTCATGCTCGACTCGAAAGCCAAGTCGCTGGACGAATCTGAGAAGCCGGAGATCCTTGCTATGTTGCCCGCTCTGAAAGGAATGCGAGTATTGGAGCTCGGTGCTGGCATAGGGTAGGTCGTGATGCGTTCTCTACTGTTTATAATAATTTTGTACATCTGCCCTCTTCCCTGGGCAAGTCGAATGATAAGTGGTTTTAAAATTGAATTGAGATGGAGGGTGAGAGCCAACCATGGAAGAACAGAATAGCGTAACGAAGAGCGTCACCGTGAAACCACTCTGCTTCCCAGGCATGTTCGGTGGCATTCTCTAGAAACATCGAACTGTCACGGAGAGGAACGCAAGCAAACTTCTCAGCCCCGTAATTATTTAGAATTCATTGATCGTTCCGTGTATGGTGGTCTCAGGCATGTAGGCAGGCTGCTGACAAGGGCGTCATGTGCTACTGCATATACAGTCATACCTGGGTTATCCGGACCCCAACGTTACGGGCACTTCGGTCTACCGGGCACCCTTTGGGCAAGTTTTAGTGTGGAATTATTACTGCTTTTTTGTCACTTTTCGTGGAAATAGTGACGTCATATGCCATATGCATGGCCTTTTCCCATCAAAATGTATGTGATTCGGAGTTCCGGACATTTCGAAGTTATGGGCAGTGCCTGGTCTCGGACCGCACGGATAAGCGAGGTATGCATGTACCTGTACAATATTTATTGCTATCTGAGCACAGGACAATGCAGTAGATACAGCCGTTTAGAGCAGACACGGATCCGCTCACATCTGCATTCAAGCCGATACTGAGTGGAGTGGCAACAGTTTCATAGCACACACCATGATGAGACCAACCAGGTTGGCAAACCTGCCACTGCATCTTGCCTTCTTCTAACGGCAATGGTCTCCGAGAGAATAGAAGAGACGTTGAACACATTTTACTTTGGATTGTCGGCAAGGGGGTAGGGTGGGGAGTCATCCACACCCTCTGAAACCCTTGGATACAAGCCTAGCAGCCACACCTCAAACTACGCCTGTGATTAATAGTACTGTAGCCGACATGGAAATCCAGTCGATTGACCGGGGCCGGCGCCCTCAACCCGTACAGAACGCTGCGTGCAGTGCACTTGTTGGTCCGATGCGACCAGCGCGCTGCAGCGCATAAATGCACGTGTGTACCGCTTTTCCACGGCTGCATGGCCAGCGCCCTGGGGCCGCTAGACGTGCGGCCGGATTTCCATGTCCACAACAGTACGTTCTCAATGTGCTTCTTCAACTTACAAAGCAGTTAAATTGATTCTTAAAGCCTCAATAAGTACGTGCTATCTTCATCTTCCTTTGCACCTCAAAATAAAAATTGGAACTGGAAGTAAATTTCAAGGAACGGTACGATCATATTCTGAGTGATTTGTTCACATCAACACTGTACTCTCCTGTTTGCGCAGTCGTTACACAGGGACTCTTGCTGAGACAGCCCAACATGTCACCTCAGTTGACTTTGTGGAACAGTTTGTGGAGAAGAACCGTCAGATCAATGGTGTGCAACATCCCAACATCACATTTGTGAGCGGCGATGCTATGAAGCTGGACTACGAGGAGAACTCGTTTGATATTGTCTTCTCTAACTGGTTACTGATGTACATCAGTGATGCTGAGCTGGAAGAGCTAACCAAGAGAATGCTCAGGTAAGCTGGCCACCTCTTTTGCATTGCTACCCCGCCGTTGCATGCTGTTTCACATGGTGGATGAGCTTCACAGGTCACTGTTACAGTGTGATGTATTTTGAGTTACTATTTTTCCATCATCTGCTTTTTCGTGCTGCTATGCACCTGATCTCTACATGCACACTACTCTGATCTCTACATGCACACTACTCTGATCTCTACATGCACACTACTCTGATCTCTACATGCACACTACTCTGATCTCTACATGCACACTACTCTGATCTCTACATGCACACTACTCTGATCTCTACATGCACACTACTCTGATCTCTACATGCACACTACTCTGATCTCTACATGCACACTACTCTGATCTCTACATGCACACTACTCTGATCTCTACATGCACACTACTCTGAGACTACTCTGAGTCGCACCTAAAGTCATGTTTTGCTTTTCTCTGTTGGGTGATTGCTTGATCCCTTGGCAGGTGGGTGAAGGTTGGAGGTCACGTCTTCTTCCGCGAGTCCTGCTTCCGTCAGTCTGGTGATCGGCCGCGTGATCTTTCCAACCCAACCAAGTACAGAGATCCAAAGGTAGAGCAACGTTGCCAGCGTTCCCTTCCACTCTTGTCAGTGCTCTGTATGGCCATGGCTGATATTGTACGGTTGAAGCTTGATTTTCTTGCAGGCGTTTGTTCTTGTCTGGCACTTTGTGTACTGTATGAATGCATTTGTTGCTGCTAGCTGTTAACGTCTTTTTGTTCCTCGTTTCTCTCTCGCTTCTTCTGTGCCCTCCTAGCACTATCATCATACATTTGAGACAGCGTACTGCGAAAGTGCAGCGTCCGCGACGGCTTGCGGGTTTGAGCTGGACTTCTCGCGTTGTGTGCGTACATACCTGCAAATGAAGAATAACCCCCATCAGATGTGCTGGAGCTGGAGCAAGGTAAAGGACTGATGTGCAAGGCCAGGGGTTGGTATGCATGTGCTGCTGCGCATTCATCAGGACATGGAGCGAAGGATTCAGTTTGGGCCCGGCATGGTCAACGTATTGGCAACAGATGTGCTATTGGGTACAACAGTAATTTGCCCTGGATTGTAATTTTTTGGCCACGACCGGTCGAGCGGTAATCTAGTTTCACAGTTTACGTATATCAAGCCCTGGCATTTCTGTAAAAGTATTCATGTCACAACGCTGCTCTCTTTGTAGGTGATAGTGGACAAGAAAACGAAGTCTAATGATGACTTCTACGGCTTCCAGTCGATGCGTCAATTCCTTGACCAGCAGCAGTACTCTGTGAACGGCATCCTTCGCTACGAGAAGATGTTTGGCAAGAATTACGTCAGCACCGGTGGTCCAGAGACAACAGCTGTGAGTCTGATTTGGGCTTTATGCTTTCCAATGCCAGTGAAAGGCTTGACTGTTTCCTTTTCACCATTTGAAGCTAATTGATAGTTGCTCTGTCATACTATTAAAAGGCTGTGGAGAACCACCTACAACTGCAAAGCCACCATTCGTCAGTAGTATGTTTGTACAACTGGCTTGTCTAGAAGTTGTGTGGCGTAATGGGAAAGAGAGACTAGGGGGAGGGAGCCATGTTTTAGAAAGTGAGATTTTCATCATATCCTGCGTGCATTAGCATTGCGTCAGTGACTCTTAATGTTATGTAGCCGTATTGCCTCAGCGAGCCGTATTAGTTAATATGAGTGAATATTTCTGGTTGGCTGCTGTTAACATTTTCACCTTATTCGCTGCATTGAACCACATGCGAAACCTGCGGGTTTCAACACGACTACCCATGGAGCTGTTGTCGTTAAGTACAGGTGGCCTCTGAAAGCCGAGTGACTCTTCCATGACGTTTGTACCAGTGAATAGTGGTTTATAGAGGTCATTGGTCGCGCTGTAAGAAACCAGCCGAGTGTTTGCTTGACCAGGTTTCACCTGTACTACGGTTACATGTGCCTTCCCTTACTGCTGAAACTCTGTGTCTCAAGAAGAGAATTATCACTATGGTAACCATTTTCTCTCAATTCTTCCCTTCTCTACTCATAGGAGTTTGTCCCGATGCTGAAGTTGCAAGAAGGCGAGCAGGTGATGGACGTTGGATCAGGTCTGGGTGGCGGTGCTCTCTACATGGCGGAGAACTATGGCGTGGATGTGCTGGGTCTGGATCTCTCTACCAACATGGTGCACATTGCTCTTGCACGGGCAGTCAGCTGCTCAACAGGATCGGTATGTTACATATATAATGTATCTGTGTGTGTCTATGTGTGTGTGTGTGTGTGTGTGTGTGTGTGTGTGTGTGTGTGTGTGTGTGTGTGTGTCCAAGGGTCTTCTTGGACGATTTGATTTTTTTAGCTCCGTAGTTTCTGGTGGTTTTTGGCTGTTTCTAGCCATTCTGGACGGCTTAGGGTGGCCTAAGGTTACTGCAGGCGTCCAGGTGAATGTACTGAGGTAAAGGACTCAACAGGAGACTTGGTCGGATACTTTCTGATGCCGACACTCTCCTCGTTGTGCCTCTGAATTGTTCAGATGCCCCCGCGAGGTGTTGCGAACCCGCAGGTGGTGACAACTACCGCACAAGGACGACGGCAGGGGGAACAGGTTTTGAGTATTGGTACGTGGAACGTCCGCAGCCTGGTCGAAAGCGACTGACCTATGGAGACGGCAGCTGTCGGAGGAAATCTTTCTGATGGTGGCAGGTGCTGCCGACCGAAGAGGGGTTTTCAACTCCACAGCTGTGCAAAGTACATGTATAACAGAACTCTTGCTGGTCGCTAGCCTGCAGAGTGTGCTGAGTACCGTACTCAATCAACCTACCTCATGTTTGTCGGCCCCTCGTACGAGGGGACATGTGCCCGTCTTACGGCAGTGTTCAGGACAGGACAGGTGCGCGTGCATCGGCAAAAGCACCAGTCAATATCTGTCTGCAGTGATTTTCGTCACAAAATCCAGCCCCTAACCCATGCATGCCTGCACTGAGCTAGTGTGTTGAGACTTGGCAGGCTATGCTTCGTTCTTGCACAGTACATTCGAATTCAACTGCAAACTTGGTTGTGTTTTGCAGGTATTGTATGAAGTATCTGACATAACCAAGCGCCAGTTTCCCGACGAGTCCTTTGACGTCATTTACAGCCGAGACACTCTGCTTCACATTCCCAACAAAGCCGAAGTCTTCAAGAAGTTCTTTGTGAGTATTTCGTGTGGTGATGACACATAGCAGGCACACGTTGCCCTCATGAACATGCTTGCCATGCAAGCCCACTTAATGCGATGCAGTTTAGCTTATGGGAAGTATTCAGTAAAATTAGCATTGTTATCTTCACAAGTAGATAAAAACATGATGGAATGAGTGCATATTGTAGAATGTATTCGTTATTCAATACTGCTATTGTTCGATAACGCCATCATTGGAGGTGTATTGAGTTGAGCAACATTCCAACCACTGGCTTTCCACAGATGATCTGATTGCTGCCCCGTCTCCTGTGTGTTGTGCAGCGCTGGCTGAAACCCGGTGGTCGGATCCTGATCTCTGACTACTGCTGCGGCGAGGGAGAGTGGAGCGATAGTTTCAAGACCTATGTTGAGCAGCGGCACTACACATTGCACAGTGTCAAGCACTATGGACAGGTAATGGTTATCGTATTGTGATCTTTTCATCATGTCCTTGCCTATTATTCCCGCTCTGAGCTGGATGGCTTACATCACCTTTCATACTGATAATATACCTGGGTGATATTTTTGTCCGGCTGCTCACAATTTCATGCTCTGAAACTGTGCTCGACGCAGTGAGAGCCGCGAGTTCGCTGAGGGAAGGCTGTGATATATAGTGATCATTTTTGTAACAGGGTTCTAGACCCTACGATAAAGAACAGTGGGTTTCGAAGTGCTTTTACGATCTGCACATTGGGTTACACTTCATGCGAAAATCAGCTTTGGTAGAACCAATTTCGAGCAGACGAGGCATTGAACAGACCTTCATCCATTTGTCAACCACCAGCTATGATCTGAGAATACCAGCACCAGCAGAAGTTGCAGAGAGCACCAATGAATCATTGAGGGAAGATGGAAACTCGGGGCATCTCCTCCACTATTTTCCGTACGGTTTTCACAACGCAGCCTGTGTATGGTAACTACGTCTGGCTGATCAGTTGGGCCTTCAGCCTTGAAATGTACCATTTTATTTGCATGCCTATGTTAACTTGTAAGAAAGGGTTTGCTCCCCACACCGGAGCTCGCGCTATTCCGCCGACTTTACTTGACACTTGACTGACTCACGACTGCCATCCAGAGCACACGAGAAGTCCATCGAACCTTCGACTCGGCAAACCTGCAAGAAAGCACTACTCCCTGCTCAATACACAGTGTTTCGGGGAATTCACCCCTCATCAGTTGAGCTTGAGTAGGCTGAGGAAGATTGTTAACTTCTTCTTTTAAATAAGTATGCGTCCCCTACATATGTGTACGTGCAGATTCTCCGTGATGCTGGCTTTGCAGAGGTTGTAGCTGATGACCGCAGTCGTCAGTTCTGCGATGTCTTGCTGCGTGAAGTCAAGAGAGCATCAGCAGAGCGGAGTGAGCTTGTCAAGGTATGATCGCAGGCTTAGAGATAGAGAGGTTTGTAATTGTCATGCAGGTTGTCACTAGTGCACGCTCAAAACGCATGGCGTGTGGAGAGAATCGCACAGGAGGGATAGAGGAAAATTGTTAGCCGCAACATGTTTGCTTTTCCTCTCTCCCTACTGTGTGCACGCGCTTCAACGCACGGTGTTGATCACTCTTCATTTGGTGGGGCACACTGCACACTGCTAAAGGAGAGATTTAAACAGTGGCAACGTCTGCATGCTCTTTTGTGCATTACAGTTAACCAGTTTGTATTCCTTCTGTGCGTCGGTGTAAGTCTTCGCCAAGGTGAATTGAGCCCTCTCTTCATGTACCACAACTAGCTTCAAGTGTTCATGCTTGATATATATCTGTGTAAACTGCACTTATTTGTGCATGCAGTGGCTGGGCTGCACGGTGGGGCATATTGTATAGATGTCAGGAGGCTAAGGCAATTGGCATGCTCCATGTTTAATAGATATGCACTCACAGGAGGTCCCAATGATCAGTACCACTCTCCCCGTGCACAGCTTTTTTTGCTTTTCTGACGTCCGCTTTGTCTCATGCTCCACATTTCTTTGCAGGAGTTTTCTGAGAAAGACTATGATGACCTGGTCACAGGTTGGAAGGCTAAGGTCGAGAGAGTCAACGCTGGTGATCAGTGCTGGGGCCTTTTCTTTGGCCGCAAGCTGTCAGCCTAGATGCATGTGCGTGCAGATAGAGAGTGGTAATTCAGTACTGATCCCAGTTTGGAGGTATGGCCACGTCTTATACTATTTTCAGAGGTTTGTGGGGTTGAAAAAGGAAAGTCTGAAGAATACTTTTATAATATATTCATCTTATTTCCTTCAATACTGCCTTGCGCCACTCTTCTTTCCATTTTCTATGATTGTTGCGTTTTCATCACGATGTTCGATTTAAATTTTTCGGTAGAGCCTTTTCTTCAATATTTTATTCTTTTTTTCTTAAATCTTTTTCTGCACAGCTAGACTGTATGAGGTCCGTGCTTGTCTGTACCCGTGTGGGGTCACATTTACTGCGAGGGAAGATGAATAGACTGCACTCGTGTCGGTGCCAAAGCCAACAGATCTCGGCCAGACCAGTCAGTATCTATTGTGCACCATTCCGGTCTCAGAATCAACACACAGGGAAACCTGTCTAAGACGACCGCTCAAGGGACCTTCAAAACACGGTCTCTGTTACCAGGTGGTCTCCTTATCCAGGCCCTGTCATTTGGCTGGAAATAGCATCCTTGGGTCCTGGTTGCAGTAGTCTTCTGGGACAGGTGGTCGCCTTATCCGAGTGGTCGCCTTGACAGGTTTGACTGTAGACTGTGCGAGCCAAGGGGTATATATGTAGGACTCAGTATAGAGTCCATGCACTATATGATGTCCAGCACCCTATATAGAGTCCATTGGTCCAAAATCCACTATACAGAGTCCAGGAGTCCACTCAGTTTTGATCAGCTTCATCCTGCCGCGCAATCCCCCATAAGGAGCACACTTTTTCTACAAGTCCCCTATTCACAGTCCAGGAGTCCAGTTTATCCAGTCACGCCGTCCTGTGTGTTGTGCCCGAAAGAGAACGAACACATTTTCAGTTTTGCTTGCCTCGTGGCAGCGCATTCCTTTCTCCACTTTAGCCATGGCTCCCAGTTCTGCTGTGCAGTTGCTGACAGTAATCTGTCTCGAGGTAACCAAGGAGGATAAGGAGACGTTCAAAATCAAATCTGGAAAGCGTCTTGTGGTTCTCTGAAGACGTTTCATCAGTGCGCGGGATGAAAGCAGAAATTGCAGAACAAGAAAAGTTCAGCACAGTTCAAATCTGACGAGTCAGGTACACTGACACTCTCTTTCGTTCGACGCCACAAGGATCCCCTGTTTGGCTGGCCATTGCTGCCAGTAAGACGTTTGAACGGTTTCATCAGAGCGAGGGATGAAAGCAGAAAGCGGAGAAAGAGAAAAGTTCAGCACAGTTCCAATCTGACGAGTCAGATACACTGACACTCTCTTTCGTTCGACGCCACAAGGATACCCCTGTTTGACTGGACAAGAGCTGCCTGTACCACCGTGTCAAAAGGCTGTCCAACTACATGACAGGACGATGACTGAGGTAAGGAAGCTTTTACTCGTTTCGATTGGTCTGCTGTTCTGTCGTTATGCTTGAATTTGTTTCCATTTTCAAGGAGCGTATCGTGTTTGTTTGATGTTGCTTGAATGAATGCCCTAAAAGTAATCAACCACTTCGTAATAGTCCTCAAGGACTGCAAGGACTTTGCATCAATCGTATACGATCGTCTAGCTATCATCAATAATTATTATTATAATTATTTCATGAGAAATGTATTTTTATCCCTGTGAAAATTATGTGAAACTCCACGACACTCTTCCTCTACAAATTCAGGGCTCACAGTCCAATACAAAAGCGTGGAGTCGCGCACGGCTTTGCGCGGATGTCACGTGATGACAACTGACCAATCACAGGCCTCTATTCTCCTCTATTCTCAAATCTTTGATCTTGTCCACTACATCGGCCCTGATGTCCACGAAGCTGGGATTCGCTGTGCTGATTCAAAACCCCCAAACTCAGTGATCTACCGCAGCGTTTCACCATTTTCCCTCCAGTTTTCCGGCACGGATTAGCCAAAGTCTGGTCGTTTTGGCTTCGATTTCGGCACAGCAAACGGAAAAGTGATCGGTAAATGTCTGGAGAATTCCACGCTGAAAAAAATAAGCCATAGATGATCAAAATCCGCCAAGAATGAGATGTAGTGGACATTTTTGAGTGAGTGCCACTCAGCGCGCAGAACGCCAAAAGTGCAAAAGCAGCACCAGATCAAACAACAAGAAAAACGCATGCATGCAGCGGAACAGCAACGCGCGCCGTCCAACAGAAAATCATTGCGCACAGATTTTTCAGTGTTCTCTCCTCAGTTCGCCCGCGGAGTTGGTTGCTGTGCTTTCGTTCTCGCTGGAGTTCTTGTGGCAGCGCATTTCGCCATCATGGAGGAACTGGTACCTCTGGAAACCTGGCCTTTAGTGGCCCTCAACTAACGCCTGGCGGATTTGCTGGTCCCGTTCGCCTCCATCCGATCAGCAGCTCCGTGTTGTATGTTCTCGGCGTTACCTGCCTGGCGAGCTCTGACTCGTTTGTTTGTCTTCTTACCTGTGGAATATCGCGATCGCTCATTGTAGCATCAGCATTTGGTCGAACAGCGGCTACATGACATGAATTTCCTGGGACTAGCACAGGTTGCCTTTCGCCTTCTCCTTCGGTGGACCAATTCTACAAGGCACAGTGAAAGGCAAGTCGTTGCCGAGGGCTGGCAGTAACTGTTCAGTGTTGCAGTGCAATTCCCAGTGAAAATAATAAAGCAAACTATTTCCACTGGAGTATGCACGATCGTAAAAGCACAAGATCGAGACGAACGGAAACGAGAATGGTTTGACACTGCATGCCAAGAGAAGCGAGGAAAGGACAGGTCCGACCAAAATATCGCGAACATCGGCTCTATAGATCTACAAGACAAGAACAGGCTACTCAAGCCCAGGTTCTTTCTCTTTACTTCTTTGTTCTGTTGGGATGCGTAGGATGTACACGATCTGTGCTCTCGTGGGGTCACGCGACTCACGTGCACCAAACCCGCCCTCGCACGACGCTTTTGTCGATCCTGCATACCGACTGTGAGCCCTGAAATTATAGTATGATGTCAAATACAATGGGATCCACAAACGCAGTGCCAGTGTTCTAGTAGTAGTAGGAGGATTGCTTGTATGCCAATGACAAGAAAAAGCTTCAAGCTAATACTCGTATTCCCTGAAGTAACCGTTTTGATGTCACGAACATGACATTGTGTCAGTGAAACTGCCTCGTGACAACAAATCATTGCATTTCCATCTTGGGGAAGACTGACTGACGGCAACGCTTTACAGATTGTTCAAATCATCTCATTTCAATTTAGTTGCAGTGAAACACTGTGTACACTACATGTATGTTGGTGTGTCTGTGCGTCTTGAGTGTGCACAAACGATCTTATTCCTCGTATTACTAATAGATTATTGTCCCCACCCTCACCTGTTCACAGGTCTTTGAGTGGATTGATTTTCATTGAGCATCACATTCGTTGAGAACTTGGTAGTTGTGTGCTCCCATGCATCATTACGTTAATAAGCGTATCCTTGTGCTATATATTTGTTGCAGGTGTGCTGATCTTCAGAAGCTTGCGGAACTGAGTGCTGCTGAACATTTGCATGGCCATGAGCAATGGTGAAGCTTGCTATTGCACTCTCAGCATGTGCTAGTATTATGCTGACCACTGCACTATGTTACTCTCTTACCTTACTATGTGTATGTAAACGTGCGTGTACCCGTCCCCGTATGCATTCGTTTCGTATAATTATTTGTTATCCCTCTTGACTTTACGTGTAAATGGGTGGACGTTTGCATGGCTGTTGGAGTTGCGTGTGTATTGTGTCTCTACTCTTTTATTGGTGTTTTCTTGGCGTTCTATAAGTTTGTGTGTGTGTGTGTGTGTGTGTGTGTGTGTGTGTGTGTGTGTGTGCGCAATAGTTTGAAAACAAATAATTGATCCTGGGCTCTCCATTATTCTCTTTCGATTCTTGTTTTTTTCTAGGTATTTTCTTGGCGTTGTGTGGGTGTGTACATGTGTGTGTGTGCGTGCACAATAATTTGGCAAAACTGCATGATTGAGATATTGTAATTTGCAGCGTCTGCGTAGAGACCACTTGATTTGAGGATGGGGTTTGTAGGGTTTTTCATGTAGTGAAGTGGCTGCAGTGGCGCCTCAATACATATTTTTATCTTGAGAAGTGAATGATGTAAAGGATAAGGGAGAGGCCGTTTTCTGGTTAATATTCACTGCTTACAGCAGATCCTATGTCTAATTTCGAACTCGATAGGGGATGCCTAATTGGCTGGACTTTATACAGGGAGTGTTGTCCACATAAAGACTCTTTAATCTTTATAGTTGATTTCAAAATTTGGACTCCGTACAGTTGATTTTGGACCAATGGACTCTATATAGGGGTGAAGCCATTTGGCTGGACTCTATACAGGGAGTGATGTCCATCTAAACTGAGCTCACAGTTGATTCCAGTTTTGGACTCTGTACTGTGGATTTTGGACCAATGGACTCTATATAGGGGTTGGACATCATATAGGGGCTGGACGCTCTACTGAGTCCAACATATACTATGAATGATAGACTGAAATAATTAATTGAAACAGAAGTGGGAAAGAGAAGATTAAAAAAAAACTGGTCCTAGCGACTTGCATACCACATACTAGTGCCATAGCCCTCAACCGGGCCTTGTGCTGACCCTCACGGTTTACTGAGATCCAGCATTCTTTGTATCCCTGGTGCTCGTTCTCCTAGGGGTTTCCCCGTCCAACGTTGTGTGGATAGTTCCGCCGTGGTGGCCGAGTCTCGCCTTGTTACGTAATTTTCTGATCTTGTATACTGTGTTTATCATTATTTTTGTTTATCAAGTTTTTTTGGTTAAAAATTGAGTTTATTGATTGACGGTTCGTTTTATGGGCATGGGCATGGGTAGAGTGTTTGTTTCAAATATTTATTATCTTTTCAACGCCGCATGCCTATACTATCATATGATTGCTCTTTACCAACTACCTGCTTTCCTTGTCTGTACTGTGCCAGCTTGAGTTTCCCCTTGAAGTTTCGTGTGTACGAAGATGATCTCAGACTGCATTTCGATACTGCATTTCGATATCACTCAATAGGCAATACCATTACATCACCACTAGAGATTCTTTGCATGAAATGACATCACCAACACTGGTTTGCAACTCAATACAAAGCATTATGCAATGATGGTTGTCACTCGCCATGATACCCTCCGGTGACAGTGATCAACAGCTCGTTCGGCTAAATAATTGATAGCTCCTTGTCGGACTGTACCGTAGGTGTACTAACGTTAAGAACGAGGTCTGTCTCGTTGTCCAGGAGACGACCAATCAGCGACTTTCCCGCCAAGGGCCATATGGCCTTCGGGCTAACCTGTCGGGCACTGACAAGCCGTAAGGCCCTCCCTGCCATTCACTGAC